ACTTGCTATGCAGCGTCAAGACGAGGATATACACAGTTATCGGGATTTTATCCAGTCCTGGCTGCTGCATGGACCTTGATATGTTCGACATCAGGACGAGAGAGCCAGGGTCTGCCGCAGCGCGCCCTTACTTCTTCTCCTTTGGCTTCGAAGACATCTTCGACCAGCATCTTCGGCATGCCATCTTCGCCATATCTTCGCCATGCCATCCCCTTTCCGCCATCAGACCGACTTCTGGTCGGCGGAACCAACTGTGACTCCCGACCAAATCTTACGTCAAGCGAGCCCAGCTTCACGAGATCCAGGACGGACGTTCGGGGCATGATTGGATCTTCGCTCGACTGGGTTCCACCTGTCGACTGTCCTTCTGTCAAGTATAATTCTTAATATTTGCTTTTTCCTCCTCTCCCTTTTCTGCCTACTACACAGTACGGTTTCTGCTTCCAAACGGCGAAGACAAAAATAAACACGGGGTGTACGAAGGGCCAAACGTCCAAGAAGATCCAAGATGAGAGCAGAGACACTCAGAGAGAGAGAATACATCAGGCGAACCCACGCGTGAAACGGCGATCAGCTTGTCCTTTCTCCGCCAGAGACGACCGAAGCGAGATTCTGAACAAGGCACAACCCGAGAGCAAAGGGTGGACAGGGCATACTATGTAATACATATACACCATGCATGGTGTTTGGAACCGAGCAAGCCATCCTCGTCCCTTAATTTATGCTAATAAGATTAAAAAAATCGGCCTTACACTGGCTTAGTTGGGTTGGTACATCTCTTACCAATAGCACCGCAGGAAATGACGAAGACGGTCAATGTCTTGTTTCTAACCAGCTCCATCGGATGGAGAAGCTCATGTTTCTGCTCGTGTGATGTTTACCATCGGGGTGGATGTCTCGAGCTCGTCTAGCTTGGCCGGAGGAGCTTTTTGCTACTGCCATGACGTCGCGAAACGGCTTTCCAACGTTGTGGTGACTCTGGGCGGCACTTCGGAAACCGATTATTGTCCATTTCCGTTGCAATCAAGTGGACCAGATGTGTACATGGCTCCTCCCAGCAAGCGACAAAGAATCTCTTCATCTCGAGCAAGCGATGCATGTTTCACGATCTTCGAGCTACTTCGTGCTTGAACCAGCTAGGCTCAAGGTTATGAAGCAGAACCTCTGTTCTGTATATCATAGCTCCAGTTTGGCTGGAGCTGTCATCTTCGATGGCCAGAGGGCCCATTTCCAACTATGTACCTCTCCAGAGCCACTTATCGTCCTTGTAGACCATGCTAGACTGTGGCTCTTGGGCGAGATCTTAATATCTCCTGAGTTACCGAACAAGATATCAGCCTCGGGAACATCCCTAGCCTAGAACTGTACATACATAGTACTTGATGCTACATAGAAAGTAGGTGATATCATGCATATGTTCCTGGATATCACCTCGGCCCATGCTCATCTTATATTACACACACATTGTAGCTTTGTGGCTTAACTCCACATGCTATCTTTAAAAAAACACCCAGAGTATATATTCTTATCTACTCTAAATATATCTCCGAAGTGCATTCTCAACCAGACTGGCCTTGAGGGATGGTATGATATACATACATAGCAGATAGCATATACTCCACCACATCCGTCCACCGCGGACTAAACACAGGCATATACGAGCTGGCCAAGGCACCGACGACTTTAAATCTCGATTGCAACCCATCGGGGCATTTTTCTTCTCCGCTCAGGCCTCTCTCTCTGATGAGCCTGTGAACCTCTTCGGGGAGATCACTGGAGTTATGTTCTCTTTTGCTGATCTGCTTGCCCCTGTTAGAACGCGAGCCAACCGTAGCGGTTAGGCCCTGATATGCATGGCATGGGCGTTCTTCCTTCGTCCAGTCTCCCGCTAGCACACGAGGGTTGCTATTAATGTACGTGTAAAGGCCAGCGGAGACGGCTGGTTTACCGTGTCATGAGCAGCGGCTCTCATCGCGAATGACCCAAACAGGAAGATGGTTGATATCTGCGGCTTGGGCGGCCTGAGCGACGTCGGGAAAAAGGGGGAGCCTTGAGATGGACGAGATAATCAGGGCAGATTAGGAGATTCTCTTATCTCTCTTGAAATAGCGGGCTGGTCGCGAATATTCATCTGCCTAACTAGTTATCAAGGGTTGATCTATAACCAACATGCTTCCACCGGCCTTGATTTAACCCCTGGACCAACCCGCTGGATTATGCGCGACTGCCTTGACTGCCATGCTTACACGCAAGAACGGAGTTATATCCACATCCATCGCGCGATCCTCTCCTTGTTATCATGGCTCCCTGGTTAGCGCTTGTCCTTTCATTCTGTAATGCATATCATATCACTATGCATACTATACTCACTTTAGTAATTGCATGAGCGCCTCTTGAGCAAATTATCCGTAAGAACCTGCCATGCTATACACACCCTTGGGCATTTCAATACTCGGCTTGGTTATGTGTCTCTATTATTCAAGCTGATGTCTATTAGCGGTTTACCACACCGGAGGCTTTTTATATTACATAGTTTACTTAACTATAAAAGAGAGCTCAATTTTGGCTAAATTTATACGTTTATGCGTACTGTACAAGTCTTAGTATTTATACTTGGTTATCCATAAAAGAATGCTGTTTGTATTGTCTCTAATTACTATGCACAATATTCGACACTTTTAAATGCCAAGGAGCTTGATTGGTGATTTTCAACGCCATCGAGAGCAACATCTGCCCATCAACCCGTTTTATTAAACATCTCACCATGTCAATTTGTCGATGGGGTATAAAAAGGGTACTTTCGTCCTTCAAATATCCGTATACATGTGTTTCTTCTCCGTGTTGTAGATTGGCGAGAACAATGACCTCAGCTTCGCCATCCCAAAAGGCGCCAACATCGGGCTTTGTGAAGCTGGACTCTTCACAAAAGATTGAAGAAGAAGAGATCCCTGGGTATGTTGCAGAAGTCTTCTATCCGGTTTACATTGGCGATATATTTGCGTCTAGATACAAAGTTGTTTCTAAGCTGGGCTTTGGCTCATCCTCAACTGTATGGCTTTGTCGTGATCTCCAGTATGCTATTGACCCACCATTAGTTGCTGGGTTCATGTTTAATCAGCTGTAGGGACCGTGAATATTACACATTAAAAGTGTGTAACCGTGGACGGTGGCCTGACCGTGAACTTGCGGTATCTGAACACCTGAAGAACACAGGAGACCACGTTGGAAAGAAACTAGTCCGCCTGGTTCTTGACTCATTTGAAGTTGTTGGCCCCAATGGCAAGCATACTTGTTTGATATATCGACCTCTTGGGATGAGCTTCACCGAATTCCAGAGCATGTCTCCTGAGAAAAAACTACCAAAAGATTTCATCCAGCGGAGTATCCAACTTACCCTCATATCGCTGGTTTTCATGCATGAAAACGGCGTCATACACACGGGTCAGTTGCATTATGTTTTTTTTACCGTTTTGTAACTAACAAGCCCAATAGATATCTCGTCCAATAATTTGTTGCAAGGAATTGATGATACTTCGGTCCTATCTCAAATCGAAGAAGATGAGATACAGCGCCCAATTGCACGAAAAGTCCTAGCTGATCGCCATATACACTATTCTAGACCAATGCATGTTGCTACTGGCTTACCAGTTCTCTCTGACCTCGGTGAAGCGAGGATTGGAAACCAAAGGCATAGAGGAGATATTATGCCAGGTATTTACCGTGCACCTGAGGTGATTTTGGATATTGAGTGGGACTCTAAAGTTGACATCTGGTCAATCGGCACAATGGTATGTTAAACTCTATTAGATACCACTTAACGGTCGTAGCCTGACGAGCATAGATCTGGGATCTGGCAGAGAGTCAACATCTTTTCTTTGCAAAGAAATATCGGGTCCTCGATGACGAGCAGCACTTAGCAGAAATGGTATCCTTGATGGGGCCTCCCCCTCTTGAGTTTCTGAGGAGAAGTAAAAAATCTCACGAGTTTTGGGATAGTCAAGGTATGCCTGCTTGTTATCAATTTTTGCACCATCTCTTACTTTTGAAAATATAGGGAACTGGAAAGGAACCGTACCTATACCAGAACAGTCACTTGGCATGCGAGAGCTGCGGTTTTCTGACGAAGACAGAGAGCTCTTCTTAAGTTTCATACAACGAGTGTTACGCTGGCTGCCTGAGGAGCGACCGACGGCAGAAGAGCTAGCATACGATGACTTCTTGATGCAGGAAATTCTCCGAGCTAGAAAAGCAGCCTAATTACAGGCATTTCACAGGAGTTAACGCGCTGCTAGATAAGGAACACAAACAGAAATAAACACGTTCTCTCCCAGCATTGATAACTACGAATTCGTTCATTCTATCTAATGCTTTCAATCTAGGGGAACCTACGTTGTAAACCAGGGCCAGAACTAACTGGGCTACGGTGATCTAGCTGCTATACTATGTGGTGCATAAAACATAGAAGTGATGCCTAATCCAACGCCAATTGGGCCGGCACGTTTGAACCATGGACAGCATAGACATGGGATAAATAACATGTGAACGATTTGGGCAACCCCCGAATTATCCTAAATGTTACAGGAAAGAGAGTATAGTTAGACCCACAAACTACGATGATTAGTAGTAGTTAGAAAGATCGAATAATAAGACAAGATGGCAGGCGGGAATGTGTAATAGTTCCCCGGTGTTTCTCTCCCTCTCTTGAAGCTCGGCGGCTAAATTTTGTATGTGATTGGTACGACTAGCTAGGGGGTGATGTACTCCGTACGGATGTTGAAACTGCTCCTTCATGCATATGTACAAGGATAATCAAGCACATTCTGTCCAGCGCGTAAAAGGTGAGGCTGTGATTATTTAAAGGCCTGTTAATACCAAAATTTATCTTCTTAATCATGACCTACCATTGTATATGTTTGCTCCAAGTTATACTTTGACAACCTTAACTACTTTGTTAAACATGTTTAGCTCAACCAGGGTCTTAGGAGTGGCGTATCGAGGATATCTATAGAAACTCTGAGTAAGGAAGCAGGATTGGGGTACAGCAGCACTGTCGATACTACAGGTAATGTAACCGAGAAAAAGGTATCACCTTGCACTCCCTCATAAAAGACATTATCATGTTGACCTAATTCATTATAACTAGTACCCAAACGTTGTTGAGGGCAGGATCCAGTATGCTCCCGAGCTAACAAAAAAAGGGGAACAAAACCCTATCAATCTAGCAAGGATAAAACTGACAAGAAAGATGTTGTCACTATTGGTTATTATACCAAAGATAGGACGAGGGTTTTGTCGATTCATGCTCATGAGGATGGAACTTGGAATGAATTCTTTTCACGCGCGGGAAAGGCGTTGTTGTCATTCACAGCTCAAGTGAATACCAATGCAATCAGTAAGTATTAAAACGCAGATGATGCCATTGATCCCGGTCCCAAAGTTCATGGAAATGTTTTTTCTTGTATGTGTCTAATTTTTATTAGTGGCCTGCTCCTTTTCTCGTTTGCAAGTGAGGCAACGTGCCTATTACTTATATTTATATATTAGTATGCCTCAGAGGGGGAGGTTATGTGCTCCATGAATATAATATATATAAGTATTTTATCACTGTTGTGGATAATATGTATCATCCAAGCCCATGAGAATTGCACGCCAACCAATCTCCTTTCGCACCACAGCTTCCGTCCGTCCCATAAGCCTGGCCTTGAAGGAAAATTCCCAAAACCATATTTTATCAAAATCATTGTCGAACTATGGCAACTCGACCATCTCTTCGACAAATCTACCGACTTTGTATGCTCAGCCAAAACTCTGACTTTTCGTTCTCGTATCCCCAGTTTTAAGCGAAAATATGTAACTACATAGTATGCGCTAAGTCTGGGGAGCGGCTGGTTGCATGTGCAAGTGAATTATCCTGGATCACCAATTACATCAACCAGATTATACGAGATATTATGCAAATCTCCCGCTTTTTAAGGATATAATTAGGTCACCAATCGCGTGGATGGCTCGCTTTTTCCCTCCCCGCCATCCTGTGAGCTTCTTCCTGGTGGCTTTTTTCATCTCACGAGGACATCGATGATCCTCGACTCTAAATGGCCGATTTGATACTCCATGAGTATTCAATCAACTTCACCGCCTCGTTGTCTACTTTGGTGTTAATTACTTATTCTATCTAGCTCTCGGTTGTCACGAGGAAGACTTGCTTCTTCCCCGTTACTTTTTATTCATTTCATTTCTTTTTTTCATTGCGCTGCTGAGAGAAATCTGGCAAAGTATGGAGTACATGCCATGTATAGACTATGCACAAACAGAGTAATCTGTTCAACTTATCACAGTCCAGAGGTCCCCCTTAAGATGACCAAGGACAATTGTAAAGAATCTAGAGCTTATGATAAAACGAGATTGTACTCTATTCCAATGGCTCTAGCAAGACAGTCTACATCTATGACTAATATATAAAATACTCAACAATATATCCAAATCATCTTGTATACCCATAAGATCGTCTCCAGTCTATGTCTTATCTTCATAGCTTTGCCTTGGGCTGGGCCTCAAGCCTATAAAACTGTTCATAAAACTCCAATGATTTCGGGTTCGCGACCGTAGCGCTGACTTGCACTTTATTCCCACTGATAATCTTCTTGACAGCAATCTCAACCTTTTTGCCATTAATAGTCACAGGTATTTCGGGCACCTGGACGACGAACCTGGGAACATGACGTGGTGATAGGCCGGTTCGAATAGCCAGTCTCAGCCGCTGTTCGAGTTCTGGCGTTAATGTGTTTACGGTCTGGTTCCTCATTTTGATAAATAGGAAAACTTCTTCGTCCTTGTCGTCTTTGCGGCGCCGCCCGACACATAGCGTATCCTCAATTTCGGTGTTGAATTGAGGGCCCTCAGAAATTGCATAAATCTCGGCACTGCCAAAGCGAATTCCTGACGGATTCAATACGCCGTCGCTATGACCATTTATTAGTTATGCATGTCAGCACGATTTTGTGTTAGAGAACACAGCATACCTTCTCCCGTGCATTGAAATACCCTTGGTGGCTGGGTTCACGCTGATCCAGTCATGCTGAGCCCAAACACAGATATGCTCAAATCGTTCGAAGTAGGATGAATTGTACTTCTTGTTGCCTTTATCTCCCCAGAGGAATACGGGCATTGACGGGAATGGTGTCCGGCAAATTAGCTCTCCAGACTTGCCAGTCTATCCAAGGTAACTCAGCAACAAAGCTCTTTTGTAGACCAAGGGACCAGAACTAGAGAAGACTTTACATGTGTAATTGATTCACCAGTATCGCTATCCGCAACCTCGACGTTCATTCCTAGCGCAAACATTTGCATCTCTCCGGCGTAAACCGGGCTTGAAGGGTCGCTTGCGATCCCTACGATGCAGCCATCTTTAGAATGCCTCTTGTTCTAGAATATGATATTGGGTAGAGTGGCAACTTACAAGATGTTGCTATATCTGTTCCCCCTGCCACGCTACTCAAATGGACATAGGGAAATACCTTATAAAACCATCTGAACTGGTCTGCAGTTAACGTTGCCCCAGTGGTTGTTACCATTCTGAGAGCGCCAAGGTCGAATCTTTCTCGAGGGATCACTCCAGATGCTTCAAGTTCAAGGCAGTAGCGTGGAGATGTTCCCCAATATGTCACTCTGGGAAGATCATTAGATATGCACTCATCGTATAAGGGAAAGTGCATACGTACTTGAATTTTTCTAATATCTTAAGCATAGTGGTCGCATCTGGCCACAGTGGCGAGCCGTCGTAGCATATCAGCGTTGCTCCTGCGCCCAGGTGCCCATTCATGATGTTGAAAAGAACCCATGACGTGCTTGAGTATTGGAATACAGTATCCTTAGGTCCAAGGGAATTATGAAGAAGGGATACTTTGAGCAACTGCAGGACCACACCATGTTGGTGAACAAGGCATTTTGGGGGACCCGTTGTGCCACTTGAATATAGGATATAGAGTGGGTATGAGAACGGAAGACGTGTGAATTCAAGGGCGTCGGTATCCCGAGATTTTGCTAAAAAGGTTCCAACTAATGGAAATGATGAAGTGTTTTGGTCGCCGATGGGATTCAGGAAGATGAGAGACTTTGGTAGCCGTTCCGAGACGGCTTTGATCTTTTCGTCAAGGGAAGTTCTTTTGCCCTTATACGACATATCACTATCTGCAAAGATAATGGCTGGTTCAATCTGTTGGAACCGAGAGATACAGCCCTATTTGCAAACATTAATACAGCTGTATGATATAAAAGCTCACCCATATATGCCGTAGGGGGGTGCTTTTATCCCTTACCTCAATTCCCATATCTGGTGATATAGAAGAGAAGATAGCACCGATGGAAGCTGAGGCTAGGAGAAGCACAACACTCCAGATAGATGTCGATACAATAGCACCGACTCTATCGCCTTGTTTGATACCATGCTGTAGCAAAGCACTGCGTACAACCCGGATCCGTTCATTGAGCTGGCGCCATGTTACAAATTCCCCATCAAGAGGGTCAGACTCTCGCAGGCCTATAAGAGCGATAGAATCAGGGTTCTTTCCCCGTAGTATATTCTCCGTGTAGTTCAGCTGTACATTCTCAAAGAAAGGTGGAATGGCGTTGAGCGGGAGAGAGTCATCGTAGGCCCGAGTGATATCAGGGGGCAGTTCTGGAACAATCCCGATGTACTTGTACAGATCGATCCAGAAATCATGCGGCTTGTTCACACTCCACTGTTGAAGTTCATGAGAATTCTGGAGATTGAGATTGAATTTCTTGTTCACCCGTAGCCGGTATTTGTCGATTGGGTGGTTTCCAGCACTTGGAGATACCCAAAGGGGTGTTTGTAAGGTCGATGACATCCCTAGATTCTTCTTGAAGACCACCTTTTTCCCTCTTAGGACTAGAAGAAATAAGTAAGAAGACAAGATTGATCGCGAAAAGGACATACAACGATTTATAGAGGACCGTCTTAGATGCTAACCCGTTAATAATCGACATCGGCTAGGGTGGAAATAGCCTCGGCCTCCACGATCATTAGGTTGCATCTGCTGTTTAATATAAGGAGGCCTCAAAATAAGAGGATTTATGGCAAGTTGGAAGACTTAACCAGTTGATAATGACGGTATAGTTATGTATATCTATACATAATATACGGCTGGCTCTACGACGCTATGGAGTTTTCAAAGCAATCCACAAGCTGCCGGCTAACCGACTAAAGATCATTTTAATCACAATTAGCGTAGCGTGTTGTTCTATGGTATATGATAGTATATGTTCAAGTTCATACCAGTAACTCTGCCGTCTCCTAGTCCGATTGTGAGGGCCAGAGCGGTTCAACTGTTAGGATTGTGGTTGAATAGGGGAGAATACTTCCTTTAATTTACGCATCTATGGTTACGGTGTGGGGATTATTCTGATGCTGAATTGATTACTTTGATGGTATTAGAATTATAGAGGTAACAACGTGGTTATGGGCGACTGTTCAGTTGTAACCGGTCAAGTTATAAATCACGGCTGATATAGATAGGTTAACATTATCTGGGGGGTCCATATGACATAGAAAGTACAACAGACGAATATCATATACGCTATTATTTCAAAGTAAAAATCTCCAAATAAGGGTAATAACACCTAGTAAAATGCCGATCAAAAGAGCTGGGTGAAAAATCAGCAATGGTTCTGTCGATAAGATCCAGGGATATTTCAAAGACCGACCTTGGTTCTCAATGTATATACCCCCTCGACTCAATATCAGCATCAAGCGTTTCCCCTTTAATAGCTGAAGCGCTGATGATCCGCCGCAACTCGACCCTTCGACCACCAAGCAGCCGGCATCCCCTCGTTTGCATTCAAGATGCCATCGTCTTTTTTCCATTATCTGATTGACTTCACTGTTGCAGAACGATTCATCGGTGCCAAGCTGACATTTCTTTTTGGGAACGGTAAGCCCTTTCTCATGGCGTTCGATGATCCAGTCGACCCTCAGGGGCAGATCGGTCCGAACTAGGGAGTAAAGGTAGCTGCTGGTATGCTTTAAAGCCAATGCATCAGGGTATGATAGTAAAGAGGCAATATGTAAGTGAATTTCTGTTGGAAGATGAAGAAATGATTGTTTATTCGATATTGGTACGGTTGGCTTGGTTGTTGTCGTTGACCTGAACGAATCAACAAGAGCCTTCTTCTGATTTTGTTGCATTCTCGGGGTTGGGACGGTGATATTGGATATGTATAAATATATCAAAATTGCATCTGACAATCCTTCCAAGACCATCCATGAAGAGAGCGGAATGGGATTAAATATATAGTGTCTGCTTGGCCCAAGACATTAGGCGGTATTGTTGTTGCCTGCTGCGTCTCGTAGCGAAGTATTAGTTACAGCTCGGACACAGCCACCAAGGCGAACTCCCAGCTTTAGGGATGTACTGAGCTCTCTAGACGAGATAGACGGACCAGCCCTGCACATCTTCATAGCCACATGGACGGCGTCGCCTCGATGGAAGAGATGAAGAATGTCCAAATGCAAGCAAGTCACACGTGACTGCTGATGGCTCTACTTTTATCATGAAAGACTTTCAACAGCTCAACAACTTCATGATTTTATATTTAAAAGAGCAGATTTAAGAGCAGATTTAACGAACGGAACCTTTATCTGGCCATCTACCGGAGAGGCACCCTTGCTTAGCTGCTTCATACTGTCTTCATAGCTGAACATTCCCCAGCTCTGCCGCCATCATGAGTGACAAGAAGTCCTTCTACAACAAACCTGTGTCAGACACATCGTTTCGAAAAACCTGGGACCGCGAGGCCTACGCTGAAAAGGCAGCAGCAGACGAAGCTAAATCGAAGGAAGAAGCAAAAGCGCGTTACGAGGCCAAACTGCAAGGCAAAAAATACCATGCTCCCGTCGACTACAGCTCCCTCGAAGCGACCACCTCTCGCGCAAATCGGCTGGATGTCGCAAGCCTGGTCGGAAAGACCACGCTAGTTCCTGCCGGAGCGGCAGTAGGGAAACGAGGTCGTGGTGCAGGCTTCTATTGTTCTGACTGTGACCTGACGTTTAAAGATAATATACAGCTTGTGGAACATTTGAATAGCAAGCAGCATCTGTATGCGACGGGACAGAGTGGAGAGGTTGTCAGAGCTGGTGTTGTTGAGGTCAGAAACCGGCTAAGATGGTTGGCACATAAGAGGAGGGTGGAGGAGGAGGAGGATCGAAAGGCTGGGCAGTTGGATCTCGATTTAAGGATCAAAACTAGGGAGGAAGAGGAGGCAAAGGAACGAGAGGAGAAGAGGAGGAAGAGAAATGAAAAGAGGAGAAAGTCCGGCAAAGATGACGTTAAGCAGGAAGATGTCTGGGAGGGTCGACTGGGTATTATTTCATGAAAGGGTTGACAGAGCGATGCTTCCTACCAATTTCGCCCAGGAATATACCGTCTATCCGCATTTGCATATGGAGGACGTACAGGATCACATACCAAGGCCATAAAGCTTTGAATTCATGTGTTGAAGTCATCCCTAAAGTTATCCGGACCGACGCCCCCTGACCACATTATATACATTATTATCATTGATCAGGCATTAAATGTCTGGCTAATCTATGCACTCGATACCATTCAGTGCATGCATTGCTCGTCCGCCTTCCCTTTCAAAGATACCAACCACTCGCTCGCATTCATTGCGCAATTTTTCCTCACCCTTCTCTGCGTTCCAGAATATCCACTCTTCGATACTCATCCGCTTCTCAGGGCTAGTGATTCCGTCCTTCGCAGCATGCAAAATGTCGGTCAGTGACACGTTCTCTTTTTCTGTTGAGTCTGGGAGAAATGCTTCATCTAGGTCAACAGGTTCCCAAGGATCGGCTGTGGTAAGCTGCCTTGAGCGCGGTTCACCCTTTGAGGGAGATAAAATAGGGGTCTTTGTGGCTAAGGGCGCCTTAGTTGGCTGTGAAGCCGTATGGGGCTGTGTTTTTGATATCGTTAAGGGTTTACTTGAAGGGGGTTGGTTTTCTGCATCGGATGACCGAGGAGACGATACGGGAGTGCATTCACGGGGCGATAAGTTTGTTGAAGGGTCCAGAGTAGGAGGGCTTGCTTGGGCCTGCTGTATCTGTTTAGATGGACGGCGAGTGATAGGCTCCTCTTGCGTTGAACCACGCTTCTTTCGATGCTGAGTCTCACTATCAGGGTTTTGACTGCTGGAGCCACGGCCTTTTGCCCTCTCGGCTATATCTGCTTCCCTGTTGTTATTACTATTCCCACCATTAGACAACCGAGGCATTGGTTCCTCTCTATTCGATGCTGTATTTTCAGTTGGTGCAGACATTTCAGAAGGATCGATGTCATTGACGTCGTTACTGTCTGCCCTTTTCTTTCGCCCTTTTGTAGTACCCGTCGTGGTTTTTATCTTCTTGCTTTGCTTTGTCTTTTTAGGCTGTAAAGCTGGTTCTTCACTTTGTGCCTTGCCGGCATCTTGGGTCTGAATTGGTATTGATACGACAGGCTCATCCATGTCCACATCCGCCTCTGAGTTCATCTGGTCAAGCTCGCTCGCCGGTAGCCTGTCAACAGTTGAAGTAGATGTGTGCTTCTTTGTAGCCTTCTTTTTCGTATTTTTCTTTTGCACCTCCGGCTTAGGTAGTTCTTCAAGGTCTTCATCTTTCAGGCTAACTTTCCGGTGTCCAGATGCGATAGAAACGGACGAAACGCGCTGCTTGCTAGGAGCCTTTTCAACTGTTTTACTAGCTATGCCTTCTGTTGAAAGGTCTTTGTAGAGGTCAGCTTCCAGCTCTGCATCGATCTGCGCATCATTGGGAATCTGAGCCGTTGATGGGGCGGCAGAGATATTGGAAGCGATGGACGACTTTCGTACTCTGCTAGTACTTCCTTTCTTACGCCCCCTTTTCGGTTTAGGTGCTGTTTCCAACCCCAATTCATCATCTGTAGGCTCCGCATAATCGACAGTTGAGCTTGTAGTACGTTGGGCCTTTTTTGTCCGTGTTGCTGTAGCGCGCTTCTTCCTGGGCTTTTGCTCTGGATGGGGCTGGTGGTCATCTTCCGAATTATTTCCCTCTGTCCCGCCGATTGCCTCACTCTTTCTTTTTATTCCCCGCGAAGGATTTCCTTGTGGGGTTAGGGCTTCTCTATCATGCTGTTCACCAATATCCAATTGGCTTGGTATATCTACCTCTTCATCCTTTTTAGATTTAGCGCTTCTAGCTTTTGATTTGGTTGTCTTTTTTGGTGCCTTTACAGTCCGAGTTCCGCCCTGAGACATGATGCTCTGATCCATGGTATCATCAAAATCGACAGTTGGTGCTTCCGAGACGGTGGTAGCATTGGATTGTGTCGATAGGCGTGAAGCTTTCGAGCCACGTACTGCCTTCCCGCGACTTGACTTGCTCGACTTTTTTGGTAGTTTTGCGAATTCAAAAAAAGAGCAGTCAGACGAGCGACGATAATGTTCATCACTAATTCGGAGATTAGCATATCTGACCAACAGTGGAACAGAGTAGTCTTTTGACGTACAAAGGATTATCTTTTGGCTCCCATCCATCCAAGGAGAGTTTGCAGTAGGGACAGCTGACCAAATCATCACTCTCTTCATTCGGGCAAAAATACCACCCTGCTTCAACCATCTGCCAATTGTTATTAGACTCGGAATTACAGAACCGTAGAATGTGAGAAATTCACACCTTTTCCGTTTTACAAACCCACCCTCGCTTGCCATCGTGTGGCCAAGAGAAGAATGTAGCCCTTCGAGCATCCACGATCTTTGCGCTGGTTGGGTCTTCGATCTGCGCAGGATCCGAGGTCTTTTGAGCTATACTCATAATAATCGCCCATCCGCATTCGGGGGAAAAGTGAAGGTGCTCTGCAAAGGGGTCGTCTCCCTCTTCCCAGCCATCGAGGGATCGTTCGCAAAGAAAACAGGTAGTGTTGTCCGGGCTGAGAGCCGTAGGCGTGTAGTAGAATCCGGCATGAGCAAGCTAGTGGTCGACAGTGTCAGTTCAAGGTAGCTTAATTCACCAGGAAAGTGAACGTACCTCGTCTGGCGAGGGAGCAGTATATGGCCAGGTCAACTCTTCCCCAGAACTCGATAGATGCGCGACATCGAATGTTGCCCGACGACCGGCAGCCGTCAGGAGGTCGTTAGAGGAAGTCATGACAGCGCTATTCCCAGGCACGGGTATTCATCCAGTGAATGCTACCCCTTCACCTAGCTGTATGTTGGAGGAGTGTGTGTATGTGAGTGTGTTTATGATAATGAGAGGAAGAGAAGCGTCTCTTAAGGTTGTATGTTTACGCATTGCCTAACTCGGGAAACCACGCGCAATCATGTGACCATACGGTCTTTGTCATATTTTACTCAGCAGCTTATGTCACATGATTGGATCATCTGCCAAGACCCCTTCCCACCGCCTTCCGCGACGTCTGGAATTCTGCCAGTGTTGAGAATCCTTGCGAGAAAAGCCGCAGGTTTTAGAAACAAATCACGGAGTTGTTAACAACATCATCGACGAGTGGACCAAAGTGGTGCCCATGCGAGCTATATACACACACTGTCGCAGCCGTTGCTGTGTGTCCTGGATATTACTTACTCTCTGCTAGCCATGCGGCAACTCTACGTACGTACTTTTGCTGCTAGCTCTCCGAATATGTCTGGTCCGTATGCTGATACCAGACAGGCCCTGAGGCCCAGGTTGGCCCTCCCTTGCAGCCGCTCTCTACACTTGCCATTGACTGCGTTTGCCTTCGTTTCCCATCCCTCTTATGTACGCCTGTTGTCTACGGAACAGACTTCCAGCCAGCTAGGCTCCAATTCCGGTCCTCCGCCCGGATTCAACCTCGACGCTCATCGAAACACACCATTGCCTTCATCGTCCTCGTCCTCGTCCCAGGGCCTGGGGAAACCTAGCGGATCGACTACGCTGCGTACTGAGTCAGACTGGGAGGATAATCCGAATTTCTTGATCAAGAACTTTTCCGAACTCCCCTCAAAGAATTTTGGTTTCAATCAGCATATGATTATCAACGAAGAATTCAAGGAGGCTCTTCGGCAAATTCTTTGGCAGTTCAAAGCACCAATTCGATATGCGTTTGCTTACGGGTCTGGTGTTTTCCCCCAGAGCGGGTCATCTGGGGGAAGCTGCCATCCGTCGCCTCCGCAGGCGATCCAAGCAGTGCAACAAGGTGGCGGAAAGATGATCGACTTTATCTTTGGTGTTTCGCACAGTCAACACTGGCACTCTCTTAACCTTAACCAGCACCGCAGCCACTATTCCGGCCTTGGGTCCATGGGATCATATGTTGTCTCCCAAGTACAAGAGAGAATGGGGGCTGGGGTCTACTTTAACCCATACATAACGGTGAACGGAACCTTGATTAAATATGGAGTTGTCAATATTGACACCCTCTGCAAAGACTTGAGTCAATGGGATTCACTTTACCTTGCGGGGCGACTCCACAAGCCAGTTAAGATCTTGCGCGACCACCCCAGTGTCAGGCTAGCCAACCAAGTTAACCTCCTATCAGCTGTGCGTGTTGCTCTACTCCTGCTACCACCTAAATTTACAGAACAGGAGCTCTACCGAAAGATTGCAGGCATCAGCTACCAAGGCGATCCTCGCATGTCCTTTGGCTCAGAGGACCCCAAGAAGATCCACAACATAGTCTCTGCACAGATCACAAATTTCCGCCGACTATACGCACCGCTAATCGATACTTTACCAAATGTTACTTTTAATGACTACCAATGCAATGATCCTGACTGGCTTGACAACCCCAACATAAACGTTGCTCTAGAACAAGACATGGATCCTATCAAACGAGGCAACATGGTCCGGCGGTTGCCCAAATCGTTCCGAGAGAAACTCTACTTCCAATATCAGAGCCGGTTCAAGATTCCTCGTGGAGAATTTGATCTCATGATGGAGAAGACTGCTGACGAAGATCCGGAACGATTCCACCGTCGGGAGGGCAGTGGCTTTGATCGAAGGATTGCCGCGGAAGCCAACCTGAAGGACGAGGTGATGTTATCTATAAAAAACACAATAACCTGGCCTAGCACCAGCCAGTCCTTGAAGGGCGTTCTTACAGCCGGCATCTCCAAGTCGATGCGCTACCTTCAGGAGAAACGCCAGAAATATACAGCCTCAAAAAAGGAAAGCTCCGAGTCGCCGGAGAGCAAACCGAAGAGTGACTGAGGGCGTGTATATTTATATAATTCTCTGAGGATATGAAACAGGAGTTTTACCCTCTTGCCCCTCTTGAGAATTGAGCATCTGGGAATTTGGCGTTTAATATATTGATGTCGTTTTATTATATCTTTGGGGATTTTCCTTTTGGTCCTCCTTTTCTAGAGAGGTACGTGAGATCACCACTGGCGTTTTATGTTTTTTTTTTTGGGTGTACATAGATATCGAGGACACCCAAAGGGTATCATCTAACAGGGCGGATATTATTATATACCAAGATAATACCATGCATGGCTGTTTAGATTTCAAATGTTGGAGGAAAGGCTATAGATTATATATTAATAAAACTGGATACACTCATTGGACAAACAGCACGGAACGGAACAACTGCTGAATGAACCGTCATCCAAGGGCATCTTCTCTTCTATCTCATTTCATTCAGCCATAAAAAGAAAAAATCGTTCATCTCATGACTTTTTCTAGCTGTACTTGCAAGGGACAGGCTTTGTCGGTATAGTGCGAGCAGAGAAGCCCAGGCAGCCCTTGTTTCCGCCTGGGTTAATTATACCAGCATCAACCCAGACGGTCCAGAAAGTGATGTGAGGATCAGAGCTTGGGCAGGCGAGCAAGCCTTTGCCCTTGAAGCTGAGGTTGCCAGATTGGTCGATGGTCCAGCCCTCGACCTCGAAGCGTGGTGGAAGGGGGCCATCGCCGGTCAAGTATCCCATCTTCCCTTGTCCTATGAATGTTTAGTAACTTGTTTATAGTAACCCATTCGATGATGGAGAACATACCGAAGCCAGAACGGTCGAGGAAGACCTTTTGTGTCGGGTTTGATCCGGTATAGAGGTAGAGGATGCTATCCTTGAGATAGAAGATGGCATCGCTAGGCTTCTGGCCGCCTGGCTTGACCCGGCAGATGGCACCCTGGTCCCCATAGTTGAGGAAGATGTTGCTCTGGGAGGCATCGACACGGCCGAAATGGATTGGGCTGGCAGAGCGCAGAGACATGATGCCGAAGGTCTTGGGCGACGGAGAGGCGGTAGCAGACCCGGCAAGGGCCAGAGAGGCGGAGATGGCAGCTAGGAACTTCATGGTCCTGGTGGTTTATCAATTGAAGAGATAATTGGGGGAGTATTACAGTGAAGGGTATCGTGAGTGACTGTGAGGAAAGTACAGAGATTGACAGCTAACTACCTAGGATACGGCCTTCTTATATCTTTCTACGAGATCGATTTGTCTCTGGGAAAAAAAATGTCTTACATTTGGGGTACACCCACGCCATATTCAGCTCCGCTCTCTTTACGCCTCTTGCAGGTGAAACCCTGGGAGAGATGGCTGTGCCTATGAGAATCAGCATATAAACGAAGCGGCGAGCTGGGCGAATGAACTCGGCTTCTGCGGCTGGTTTTCTTGAGAAACCATTTCACCCCTCTGGCTGAATCGTGGTTCGAGGGAGGGCCAAGAGGCAAAAGCAATACTAGCCACCTTGCATAGTTACATCGTACAATGTAGCTCTCAAGGTCCCGAGCTGGAAGATGTCATATAACCATCACTGCCATTCACTGAGAAAACCCTGCGCAGTTATACAGAGGTGTAGATGTCTTCCGTATACCTCGGTTCATCTCCTATAAAAGGCTCCATAGCATGACTCAAGTCTATCTATAAACTAGCCATAAGATTATAGCTGATCCCAACAAGCGAGATAATATAATTCACTTCTTGAAAGATGTGAAATTGACTTAATACCGTAACTATAATAAAGCTTAAAATAGTTGACTCTTCGATTGTGAAAACAGCTGGAGGAAAGCAAACCATCATCATCAACCTTTGGCTTCTCCCTCACCGGCAGTAGAAGACGGCGACATGGCGAGAACATCTCCCTTCGACCTATCCAAGTGCGCGAGACCTAACATCCTTCAACTGCAGCCGTACCGCTGTGCGAGAGAGTAGGTCTATTCCTTCGTCAAACACACTATTAACTAGACAATAAGCGAAGCTCACTGAGCCAGTGACTACAAGGACGACGGCACAAACGTCCTTCTCGACGCCAACGAAAACGCATACGGGCCTAGTCTTACTCTAGAGACCATCAAGAAGTCCGCAGACACCGAAGACGGCTCGAGCCCTGGCGATATCGATTTCTTGGGCTTGCACAGATACCCTGACCCGTAAGAGCAACGACTTCCGTCTCCACAGTAAGAGTGCATGCGTTTTCTGACTAAAATACGACCCTGCTAGGCATCAGGTAGAACTCAAGCAGCTCTTCTGCAACCTGCGCAATACCCGGGTTCATACGCAGAAGGAGCTGAAGCCAGAGAACGTCTTCGTCGGCGTGGGTTCGGATGAGTCGATCGATGCCCTACTTCGATGCTTCTGCACCCCTGGAAGGGACAAGATCCTGACATGTCCGCCTACGTATGGGATGTATGCCGTCTCTGCGCAGGTTAACGACGTAGAAGTCGTCAGGGTGCCGCTGGACGTCGAACGGGGTTTCCAGCTCCGTCCGGAGGCCATTAACGAAGCCCTGTCCGCCGACCCCTCGATCAAGATCGTCTATATCTGTTCTCCGGGGAACCCAACCGGTAACCTGATCAAGAAAGAGGAGATACAAAAGGTCCTCGAGCACGAGACATGGAATGGAGTAGTCATCGTTGACGAGGCTTATATCGATTTTGCGCCTGAGGGTTCTAGTCTGGCGGAATGGGTGACCGAGTGGCCCAACCTCGCTGTAATGCAGACTTTAAGCAAGGCCTTTGGTCTGGCAGGTATACGGTTAGGGGCTACGTTCACAAGTCCAGAGATAGCCCTCTTGTTGAACAGCATGAAAGCTCCCTATAGCATATCTACGCCTACCAAGTCCCTTGCGATCGCTGGGCTTTCCTCAGAGAACCTAGCTCTGATGCGCGAGAACAGGGAGAAACTGCTGGCCCAGCGCACGAGGATTCTAGAAGAGCTGCCTAAGATCCCGGGTGTTGGTCGATTCCTGGGCGGTACCGACTCAAACTTTCTCCTTGTAGAGATGCTAGACAAGCCGTCGGGAGATGGTGGGAAGCCTAGCAACAAGGTCGCCCAAGATGTATATCACATCCTGGCCGAGAATAAGGGAGTCGTTGTACGGTTTAGGGGTAAGGAACACGGCTGCGAGGGATGTCTAAGGATCACTGTGGGGACAGAGACCGAAGTAACGCGGTTCCTGTCAGTTCTGAGGGCGGTTTTGGCGGACACTCTTGCTAAATGAAGGCGAATAGAAGACCCTCTTAGTTATGACAATAAAACTTGTTTCTATGAGCAATAGCTATGATAATGTTGTTTAAAATGTGAATGTCCCCCCCAACACCTTGCGAGTCCCCGCATAATAGTTGAATTCTTGAACATAAGTTTGAGCATGTAAACCCGCCCAAAGACAAAATGAAAGGGAAAAATATCCAATGACACCATGAATGTAAGTAACTCAGTCCAACACCCTCTCAATAATGCAGGTATACCTTCACACCTCTATATCTATTTACTTGTTAGCAATACTCTGTTAATGAAGGGAAATCAAAAGGGGGACCTACCAGACGTAGAGGCGTCCGAACAGGAGCGCGTCCACCGTGTAGAAACATTGCAACGGCTTTGCTAGGTGTAGCCTGAAGTTTCCTATATGCCTCATGGACATGTCTTGCTTCGATCGGCGTCCGTCCTTCCTCTGGAGGATCAAACAACCCAGTCTCCCTTTTCCGCTTCTTTTTCTCTCCGGATCCATCCTCAGATGCCCCGAGCCCCTTCTTGCCACGGTCTTCCTGCTCCTTGACCTTCAGGGCTTCCTCTGTTAATGTCTGAACGATCTCAAAGGTAAGAAAGCCGAGGATATCAACGATATCATCGTTTGGCTTGAAATCTGTGACAATGCCAAATCCTGCCCACTCTCGGAACCGTTTGGCTTTTCGGAACGTAAATGATGCCTGCCGACAATCAGACCAAAAGACGTATTCTTCACGAGTCATGTTCTTGGTACGTTCGTCTGCGGTAGCGAGTCGTTGAAGTGTAGCGTAATTCTGTTCCTCTTCCTCCTCGTCTTCTTCATCTTCCCTTTCCGGCACTTGGATTGAATATAAGCTGTTCAGATCCCAGGGGAGGCCGATTTTGGCTCTTTTATTTTTTGGTTTGGCTGCAATCTCTTGAGGCCCTGCAACGCCGGCACCTACAAGGGCGTCATCCCCAGCCCCAAAGTCTGCAGTATCTGCACCGCCTTTATCATCGGAGTCTTTCACATTCTTCCGAACATCCTTCCAAGAGAGGAAAGTCTTCAGACGGGAAACTTTGGCTTTGTCGTGCCGTATTAAAAAAAATAAATCATCTGTTGATATTGATCTTACACCCCGCCGGGCAGCTAACGTGGTGCTCCGTGAAAGCTAGTCACCGTCAGTAAGACATAAAGCCACGGTTTAATGTCGGTGGTAGGCAGACAAACCATTTCTATGACTTGCTGCCGTACTATTTCTTCGATCAAGGTGGTTGTTTCTACAGATGCCTCCGCAGACTCACCCGACACGAACATCATCTATGGATATAGTTAGCATAATTCAACTTATTAAAAATGTTCATTCAGGTATAATGTGAATCTCTCAGGGTATATCCGGTGAACATAGCGATATCGCATCAGCTAAGCAGAGCCCTTAAGCAAGGGTATATATGCTCTGAGAACCCTGACTTCTCATATATATAGTAGATAGATTACCATTAGCTGGGCCAGCCGGTTTACTCGGATATTTCACGATCCAACTGCCTGTCGAGACGCCTTATGATATGACATGCGCAAAATGGGATAGACTGACCTGTTGGATTTCCTGCCGGTATTTTGGTGATCGCTCCATATTGAATGAAGATCCTTCTTAAGCAATATACTATTAAAATATAATAAGATCTGATGAGTAAAATTTTAAATGACTTGATAGATGTTGAAAAATGGATAAAATAGCTTGTTGGGCTTGGACAAGAGAGATGACAAGAGAAGTAAGGGTTGACACTTTGCAGCTATGTCAGAGCTTAGTCAGCATGACTAACTAGTCCAAGAATGTACTAGATAGATGATTAGGTAAGCTCAAACCTGTATCTGACTTTTCAAGCGCTGTCAACTTGAATATCTCGACAATCACGGCTGAACCATGGGTTGAGATCAAATACCAATTTCATATCTATCTTGACCCCTAAAAATGACTCATCGCCTTGATGAATATATAAAGTATTACCTAACTTTCCCCTTCACTCGTTTACCCGTCTTCACTCCTCACTCTTCACTTCCTACTGTATGCCTCATATTTTATCATATAAGTACCAAAATCCCATAGAGGATCTTTAAGCTACCTCTACTTTGACACAAATATTCTTGATTCCACCTCGCAGTTAGCAGAGGAACTAGAGACAAGAGTACTCTAGAGTTGTTAGTACCGCATCAAATATATCGCAATCTATTTATATTGGATCTTCAATCTTAGAGTACCCTTAGACAGAAGATTTAAACACTCACGGTAGGACTTGGATTATCATAAGAGCCTTCTTCATGCCCTAAGCCAGAAGATCCTCGTGGAATGCCATATCGACCTTGCGACGCTTGACCAGCAATAGACATCAGTCTTTCAAAAGCTACAGATTGTTAGAAACAGATTAAAAGAGAGCTTGGACTTGAGCTAAACGACAGTTACTCGAGTTATAGGAGCTTTCTCTCTTAAAGAAAATTGCAACTTTACTCAAGAGGAATTCACTATCGAATACACAAAACTAGAAACCATCGAGGGAAAAAACGTATATGGCTTGGTGCGTCAAAGCAGCCCAGATAGTGCCAAATACTCGGAGAGGAGATGAATTAAAACACCTTCCTAAGGAAGGACCTGCTACGGAGGAAGTAATGGCACACATTATCCAGTTGACTAGACCCGGGGGACTTTTATAAGGTTCATCCATATAAGTGAGAGTGACACTCGCTTGCAAGCTCTTAGGCATCTCCCGCCTCACACCCTCTTGCGAATACAACATTCAGCCTCATACTCACATAACAATATTAAATACCTTCACCCCAGTGCTCTCTCTTACAATAAGTGATCGCTGTTCAAAGGTGTTAGTCTCCTGCCAGTGGTGCGGCGGTTTTGATGTTGGATACGACCCATAAAGGCAGACCGGGGCACATTAGAATCTATCTCATGTCAATGAAGAACTGAATCGTATTAAATTGAACTTCGCCCTGTAAAATCAACATAAGTAAAGACTGTGTTTTAAAAATAAGAATAGTAATGAAAAGCTTGGCGCGGATGCATAATGCCAAGACTAAGCATCCCGCCGCTTCTCGATAAAAAAAAAAAGATAGAGATCGAGATAAACCACCAAAGGAGCAATTGAACTGTCCAAATATAAAGCATGCTTTACCTCGTGGGACTTGGTCTCGCTGACGAGACTGACATTACTGTCAAAGGCCTAGAAATAGTTAAAAATGCCGAACGAGTCTATCTCGAGGCATACACAAGCATCTTACTCGTCGATACATCTAAACTGGTATGCGCTGTCCCGCCAAACCCCCACCGTACGGCCCTAAAAAAGAGATACTAATCCGGTCGTCTTCAGGAAGAGCTTTATGGAAGACCAGTGATAGTAGCGGATCGCGAGATGGTCGAGACTAGCAGTGATGAAATCCTGCATAATGCTGACAAAGTAGATGTTGCCTTCCTCGTGGTTGGCGATCCGTTCGGGTACGTGTGATTTCGTAACTTGGTCTATATTCGGCCTTGACTTTCAATTGACAGTACGCTGGTTCTTGTCAATAGCGCTACCACCCATACCGACCTTGTCCTCCGTGCCCGTGAGCTAGGAATTGAAATGAGAAACATTCCGAACGCCTCTATAATGTCCGCCATCGGCTGCACAGGTCTGCAGCTTTATAGCTTTGGGCAAACAGTTAGCATGGTTTTCTTTACCGACACCTGGAAGCCATCTTCCTATTACGATCGAATCAAGCAGAATGCCGAACATGGCCTGCACACCCTTGTTCTCTTGGACATTAAAGTGAAAGAACAATCGCTGGAAAACATGGCCAGAGGGAGAAAAATATACGAGCCTCCGAGATATATGACAGTTGCGCAATGTGCGGCACAAATGCTTGAGACCGAAGCCGAGAGACAGGAAGGCATCTGTGGACCAGAGAGCTTAGCCATAGGTGCTGCTAGGGTTGGTGCGGTAGATCAACAGCTCGCTGTCGGCACCCTCGAAGAACTGAGCAAGATTGATATGGGGAAACCCCTTCATTCTTTGGTCCTTCTGGGTAAAAAAACCCACGAGCTAGAGCGGGACTATGTTCGCCGTTTTGCAGTTAACACTGCCACATTTGATGATATTTGGAAGAGACATTACGAAGCTAAACCATAACTTCAGGTCGATCCCCAAAACTCTGCCAGTTGTAGACGTCAATCAATCCCCAGAAAGAAGTCAGTGAGCTATCAACAAAGCCCCTGAAGCTACAGTTAAAATCGTAAGCCACGTGACACTTACTCGGGGGTAAGCAACCCGCGCTCCAGGCTTCCCAATTACATGTGTCGCAAGTATCTGCCTATCGGCTGTCGTTGCCCGTTTTTCATTCTCGCTCCTTTGTGCATGGATATGATTGAGGGCTGGTGGCTGGAGGGGAAATATTTAAGGGCCCCTCGCAATTAAATCCCCAATGTTAGGTTACGCATACTCAATATGCTCATTCTTCTTCACTTACCTCTAGCGGATCCCCCGAGAGCTCCGTCCAAGCATGGTAGTGTATATTGTTTACGGATTTCGCTGGTCGAGGGTTGGCACACTAGCTGCACCTGGAATTCGCCCACATATCGTGATAAACGACCTTCTAGACGCCGCATCGGACTATATCCAAGAGCCACGCACGGCTGGAGAAGTATTAAAATCGTTTGAGCGAATCGATCCCAGTATACCGGCTCATCTCCCGGACCTTGCACTGATAGAGCAATATGATCCAGACGACACCAGGACTTCCACCCTCTGCCAGCCGTATGCGTTTGTTTGCGCGAAGGTGGTTCCAATTGGAGATAGTTCTGCACCACAATTCACTTCATTTCTAAGCCTTGACCTGGAAGAATTCATTAGTAAAGGCCCTGGGCTATCCTCGGAGGCATTGGCAACGTTTTCGACTTTGCGGGATGTTCTGGGTCCTGGCGAGAAGATTGGATGGTGGATAGTGTATAACGGGGACCCGGAAAGATTTTCTGCAGCCACGGAGGAAGAGTTAGAACATATTGAAAGCAGTGACGACGAGGTGGAAGAAATTAATGATAAAAGCGGCCCACCTGTACGTGGTTATAAACTTCTTACATTTCACTTTTATGGTTGCTGATATTCCTGCCAGCTTACTCGATCTGTTAAACCACCCACTGTACCGCCGAAGCCCAGGCTTAATCTTCCTACAAGGGCCAAAAATTAAACTCCTTGATGCCGGCAACGTTTGAGATTGTGTGCTTAGAGAGAACTTTCTGGGCTTGATATGTCAATGTGCTCGGAATGTTCAGACGTACATCGTCAAAATTCCACCCAGCATCCCACCTATAGTCCCCATACATCACATCAAGGACAATATAAAACATTCATCCGAACGTGAGTACCGCTGGGGAGTAAATAGAAGAAGCTGTTGCTCTGTATTGTTTATATTGATCACGTGTAGTTAACTTAGGTAATAATTACGTAATCAAGAGATAAGCGTCTTGGCTCCGACTTCGCCAAAAGAGAAATCATGAAGAGCTCCCGAGGTGCAGTGCGGAGCATAACATCGTGAGGGCATCGACGCTCGGCCAGTCTATTCCGGGATGTGATAGTGCCTAAGATTTATATATGCAGCTTGTGACGGCATGGTTCTCTCATTTATCATCGTCCAGAACCGGCAGTAAGCTTATTTATTGTCATACCGTGCATTTCAGGAGAATGGCTAACGAGCTTTCTAAGAGGTAAAACACGCCTGGCAAAGTGGTATGCGCCTTATAATGTAAGTATTTGGGGCTCTTGAAAACATACTTATTTGGTTGGACCCTAACGCGTGGGCTCTACAGGATGACGAGAAAGTGAGATTAAAGGGCGAGGTATGAGCTGCTCTCCATAACTACTCCCTTGGAGCTATTTACCGATCCTTATCACTTCCTTATGCCTTTTTATACGTTGTTACGCCCAAATTCCTGACACTGGACCACCTTCGACCCAGGTACATCGCCTTGTTGCCCCGCGGGATCAAAAATATCAATCGAACTTCGTGGAGTTTAAGCGAAGCACCAAGATAGTTTACAGACGATATGCGGGGTTGTTCTTTTGTGTTTGTGTCGATGCGAACGATAATGAACTAGCATACCTTGAGGCCATACATTTCTTTGTGGAGGTTCTTGATCAATTTTTCGGCAATGTTTGCGAGTTGGATCTCGTCTTTAATTTTTACAAGGTATTTAATTGCTGGAACTGTGAAAAGCCCTGTCCGACCAAGTTACTAATCTGCATTACGCATCTTATAGGTTTACGCAATTCTTGACGAAGTGTTTCTTGCTGGTGAAATACAAGAGACAAGTAAGCAAGTTGTGTTGACGAGATTGGAGCATCTGGATAAACTTGAATGATTATCTAGAATTACTCCTTAGTACGCGCCTTTTTCCTGGTACCAGGGACTTATAATAGCTCGACACCCCTCGACGGATTTACATAGACCAAGAGCTCTAATATATTGTCCAGAGGTTGCATGTCGCCTTGACGAGCATGTGCTCGTCGAATATCCGTTAACATCAACCCCTGATACATGATCTACCTCAAAATAAAAATTTAAAAACGTATAGGCAGGCATAACAAGATGATTCTGGCCCACCATAAGTAGCTACATGCAAGTTCTTTGCGTAAAGCTCTGTAGATGTGCATCCGTAACATCCATATCCATTTCCAATTTCCTTGTCATCCGGAATTAAACAAACCCGACAACAAAGTTATTATATAATCACTTCTATTTCAACCTCACAAAAACAACAAGAAGAACCAAAGCATGAAGTATCAAAGTTCAAGGAGATCTATTATTATCTATTATAAGGTACTGTGACTAGATACAGTCCTGTTGGTTTATCAACGAACAACAAAAACGATAAAGCTTAGTGGAAAAGGGAAAAAAGGAATAGCATCTGGTGCATTCTAAGGAATCCAAGAAAAGAGGAAAAGCGTCAGTTTGTTCCATAGGGAATGGGCCGATTGGGCTTAGTTGGCTAAGACTGGAGGCACAAATAGTCCAGTTGCCATAGGCTTTTGCTTCTTGGGCACCATGGCTTTCAGCTTCTTGCGGTCGACCTTGAACCCAGTTGTTGGATAGCTTGAAAGCCAGTGGATCCCCCCGGTGAGTCGTCTCAGGCCGGTCAACTTCTGTGCAGCAAACTGCTCGACTCTCTGTTGCGCTACCTTGCTATTGTTGGCATATTCCGGTTTCAAAATGACAAATGCTGATGGCTCGTCCATCTGGGTGTCAATGTTGCGGGTGCCCACCACCACGACACTGGCCACGGCTGGATGTTCAAACACAACTGATTCGAGCTCGCTAGCTGAGACATGAGATCCGTAGCCTTCACCAACCTTGAGAAGCTCCTTGATGCGGTCAATGATATAGACGTTGCAGTTCTCATCGAGATAGCCGTAATCTTTGGTGTGGAACCAGCCCTCGCTATCAAAGTCTTGGTTCGCTGCCTCGTTGTCTTTGTAGCCCTTGTACTTCGCAAGCTTGTTGCGGACTAGAATCTCTCCTTCTTCGCCTACACCACACTCTGCACCAGTCTCCGTGTTGATGACCTTGGCCTGTATTCCGTTTGCCAGAGTTCCGCTGGAGCCGGGTTTTTTGGTCGACTCATCCATCTGGATCGCAAGCAGCATAGTTTCTGATGTCGCCCATTCAAGTGTCAAATGGACACCTCCAAAGTTGTTTGAAACGGTACGGCGCAGATTTTCATGGATAGGTGCTCCCGCAGTCAACATCCACTTGATACTGCTCACGTCCACACCGCTAACGTCACAACGAGCTAGCCTGGCAGCAAGCGGAGGGGTGATGAAAAGGAAACTAATACGATGACGCTCGATGACCCCTATGTTAGATTCATCAAGGCTGCCTTGCGTGAGAACCACTGGGATACCCAGTAGGATGTTCAATCCCATGTTCAATTTAGCGTTGATAAAGAAACCAAGTGACAAGGGTGATAACCAGACGTCATTCTCCGGGTCTATGCTATCTGGAATTGTTCGCTTCGTGGCTTCCATTGTGGCAATAAAATGAGCAGCGCTCGTGATAACGGATTTCATAGTTCCTGTGGAACCACTGGTTCGGTTGATGAAGGCTTCGTGTTCGTCTGCCTCCTTTTCGGTGGTAAGCTCAAAGATGTTGGCATCTGGGTCTCCATTCTTTATCAGATCGTCCATGCATGTCCACCCTTCCTGGTTTGCGTCCATTGTCATCAAAGGAACCACACCAGCCAGCACTGATGCTACCTCAGCCAGGAAAAGAACCTCTGAATCGGTGATCAGGAGCTTTGCTCTCGCCTGGTCGAGCCTGGCCGCGACATCAGTTTCCGACATTTCTTTTTGAATTGGAATCAATGCAATTGTTGCGCCGGTGGCTATGGCCCCGTAATAGGCTATCGGGTACTCGATCTATAATTTGCGCGCCTTTTGTTAGAACGATTCCCACATAACTAAGGACATAAAGAATCATACCCGATCCTTAGCCAGGATGCTCACAACATCACCAGGCATAATATCGTACTCCTTTCGAAGGGCGTGCGCAAATTGCTTGCTTTTTCGTTCGAGCTCCCCCAACGTCAAAGTATCCCCCTTGCCGTCGACGCGGTATAGCACACGGCTAGACGGGTATGCTCTGCGACCATGACGGAAAATGTAACTAAATACGTCGGACTGTGGGATAGCAGGGAGCTCAAGCTTGGAGTCAAAGATCATTTTGGCTGGATGGGTCTGAACGTTTTTTTGATTATAAGGTGTGAGATATTGAATATCAAAGAATATAGAACAAGATATGTTCGGTAAGCTCTCTTCTTTGCTTTTATTACTATTGTATGTTGTTGTTGATGATCAGCTAACAGTTGGTGCTGGCAACGACAGATATTTATAATGTGTTCTTCCAACTAGCAAGCATCACATTCTTTGCGTCTCCAATCCGGTGCTGCGATGAAAATGACTCCGTACTATGCTAGGGCAAGACAAGTCCGAACATACATCCAAAGTCCCAAAATTGATGTTTGTGTTTAACGACCAGTGGTTTCTCACTTCTGCCTACGTAAATGGTGGATTGTGTATGCTGTGATGGATGTATCCGGAGATCTGACCTTGTAAGGAAGAAGTTGGCTGTGTTGAAGGATTCTAGTTTTACGAAGGATGATATTCCACCTAGGGAGGTAGTCGACCTACTATCGGACATACAGACAGCTATGTGCACCCTCTACTCGGATACATGCTTACCCCCTGTCTCAAACCATGGTGCTGTCCTTGGATTTGAGCAATAGCAGTAGTAACGATGTTATTATACCATGGAAAGATGGTATTTAAGCGCCTGGACTGGGTAGGAAGGGTAACTCCTCTACACGACAGCTAAACTCACTCCGCCACAGACCACTTCCTGTGGAACTAGAGAGATTCTGCACTTGGCGATGCCGGAGGAGTTCCCCTTCGCAAAATCTGAGTGCGCTTGCGTGATTTTGTATTTGAACGGAGCTCTATAGACACGGCTAACCGACCAAAAATGCAGACCCTTGAGCCTACACATCAAGTAAGGGCCTGGAAGAGCCCTTGGGCAGCCCGGAATCCTGCCGTGAAAATTCTATTCTCATCCGGAGTTCGGAGGAGCCTCTATGACCGAGTATACATAAATAGTTATGTTCCCTACCCAATCATTCCTTCACCATGCTGTTCCGAAATCGATGTCATTTTCCCTGCAGATTGTAAGGGTTTTGGGGTCACATCATTTCTCTGTCGATTTATCTTATTTTGGGTATTGTTCAATACCATTCTCTCCGTCTGACCTCTAAGAAACCAATATGCCGGAGTTTAATCTGACTATAGATACGTTTTTGAGGCAGTTGTTGGCTATATATACTGATGGCCATGTCTAAAGGCAACCCTAGTAACAGCCTAGCTGTTGGATAAATGACGTGCAATAATGGGAGCCCCTGAACGTCGGCTAATTTTTTGGACTGACGCTCTTCATTCGACGGGATATCCGACCGCGCTTTACGTAGTCTCATCTAGAATATATCCATTTGCTGCGTCATGCACCGCATTACAATATGTTATTGTATCTAATAATTTACTGAGATTTCGCGATTATTATCTCACAGCTTGTATAGAAAATATTCGCTCCACACCAGTCCATCACATTCGTATTAGTGCATATCGATGGTCAGCGGTTGCCGCCATGGGTGAAAATCACCATTATATTCCATGGAATTGAGCCCGTTCACAATTAGAGGGATAGCAAAATGCCAAATTTAGAAGAAATAGAACAGCTTCCGCCGTTTCACCCCAATGAAAACGTAGGCGAGACTAGAAGAGATTAAATGCAAAATCTATCCCAGAAAACCCCATACCACCCTTCCCCCTTTCTTCACTCTTTAGTTGAGTTCTTTTTCCGAACCTAGGCACGGCGGATCATGCCACTATTATTCGATACTCTCTTGCTAAGTATGCACGCTTGGACGAACTCCGAGGTACTTGCTTCCTTGTCCCAGATTTATCCACGGCATCTTCGGAGTGATTCATGTTCATGAGCTTATCATTTCGGAAGACCTCGACATCGATAGATTCGCAACGACACATCCAAGAGAGGGTTCTTAGAAGCTACTGTATAATTAGCCGGCATTTCTAGATTTTCGTATTATTCACATGTTTTGATGGATAGGTAAGAAGTAGGCTTGCCTCTGGCACAAGTAAAACCAAACCCTTAAATTATAGATATATTTCCGGTTTAGCCCTTTCGAAAATGCTCTATGCCCTTCGTAGATAATTATGGTTTTATCAGAATGATACTAGGTATTTTCCGCGGCTTGGTATTTGCAACAGAGGTCTTGTTCCTTGTAACAGTTAAGGGTAACCGAAGCATCCAGACTTTTGGTAAAGCTCTCAAACGCTACACTGACAACCCAAATGGTGATGTCTTCTTTAATGAAAATATTAGCGTGGTTTAGTTAGTTCCGCGGATAAAAAAAATAGAGGAAAATACCGTAGCCGTTTCCCGTCTAATAATGCGGGATAAACGGACTGCCAACGGGGGGTTGTCATAAGCGTGTTTAATCTCAAATCCCTGTGCCAGGGTTTGAGCTAATTCTTCAGCTAGTCTGCATGCTATTAGATAGGTTCACTAGCAGGGCAGACGAATATTCTGACGTATGGTGAGAACTGGTATATTTTGATCTTCCTTAGGCAGATATATGGTATTTCGGCAGCATATCTTTATCAAGTAGATAATCAGACATAGGGTATATCTATGTAACATAGTGTGGTTCGGTTCGCAGGGGTACGGAGGAATGCCAAACGGCCGCTGCCTGGGCATTCGCGAAGCGACATCATCTCCCTAGTACCTCACTATGCCAACAATATACGAAGAATTTTCTGTTGCTGAGAGGGTCTTGTAGTCGCTTGACTTGGAGACAGTAGAGCTTCGACGAGATTGTACCTGATTAAGCCCAAAACTGTTTAGGATAGACCGTGGAATTCATGACCTTGCCAGTATCAGGGGTTAAACCCGTAAACTCTGAGAAGGTGACGTAAATTTCTCGAGACAGATTCCTCACTCTGCTTCTCTGTGAATATTAGTGCAATATCGAGCTCTTGAAAAGGGTCCTCACTCAAGGAGGTTGAGATGAGATCAATAGATGGTATTTATATGCCATGTATTCTAGGCTGAATGCTGACTTGAACTGCAAACATTTTTAGTATATATATGATACTTTCTTTCGTCTCGCCATCGGTAATCATCTTCTTCATGTCTTTTTGCTTGGTTTGATATTCGATGCTTGAACTTTTGCTGTCAAAAAAAGACTCCAACTTCCTCCGAATATGAGATCACGTGATATCAACTTCAACTCCGAGAAGAAAAGAAAAAAAAGAGCAGATCAAAAGCGATTCATTGTGAACTGACAACTCAGCTGCCAGCCATGTCGATTGTCGATTAAACTAAGCCCGGGCCGAATCCCCCTTTTGATCCGGTGTCCTTATCTCTCTTTTGCCGTACTCTTACTCGTGCCAACTCAGGCCTTGCATCGATAACGGTTCCACCCAACACGAATTGATACCAATTCATCAGAACCGGGAGGCCGGGAACTAGATATTCTTTCTCAATGGACACTAACTGCATGGCCCTGCGTGGATATTGTTTGAACGGTTAGATTTACTATGATGGCCTGGGCCTAATACTTGGTTTGTCTGGTGCTAGCTGTTGCGTGTAAGAGCTCGCGTATCTGGGTCATCACAGTTTGATTTAATAACTATAAAAAATGGAAGTTTTTATCAAGGACATATATGAGTGCAGTCAATGCTAACATGACGGGCATATCAGTGTGTATAGTTTCCTTGGGTTCATATCACAGATGCAAGTTGAACGTCATTACTACAGAAGAATAGTGGAAACCAAAAAGGTATAAGATGGAAGAAATAAACGAAGGGATAGGGATAGGGATATCAATCCTCCAAATAGCTATTCGTCTCTCCAATCGGCCTCTAGATTGACCCTTGCACAAGCCAGGATGATTCTGGTCAGTGGTGTAAGAGTAGATCGATCCAGCTGGCCTGCACCATCTATCTCCATGAGCTTTTGCAGCGTGGGGGCTGGACGTACAAGTCGGGTATCTTCCCGGCATATTTGCCATTGCTTCTCGTTCCCTGCCCTCCACGTCTGTTCTGTGACCGGGAGAGGCATCTGGAGGATCAGAGCATCATCTAAAGGTTCAAAATAATCGAAGTGAAATCTGCGACATCTTGCTGCTAGAACATTGATTAAGTTGACAAAGAAGATACACCGCCGCAGCGATTCAGCAAACCTCCACCGGATCCAATCTGTCTCGGTATCCGCTGTAACGGCTTGTTTATACAGAGTACAGAGTCGACGAGTCATCTAAATCAGCGTGAGCCTTTGTAAGCAGAAGGGAGTTGACTTGCAAATGATAAGAGCATGCTGAATGTACCTTTAATAAAAAGGAAATATGCCACTCAGGCGCAAGACCTGATCCCTTTCGCCGCTTCTCAACTTCATCAGGAGCCGGAGTACTGAAATCATCCAAGGAGCTGAGGATCTGATAGACGCTAACGGCGTGGAGTGCAGCCAGGCATGTCTCCGGCTGATCCACATACAAGTGGAACTCTCGGATCAGCTTCTCTCGCTGGGTATTTATCAAGGAGTCAATGAAGCTCGAGCTGGACTCCACTGAGCTGTCGTATGCTGAAGCACAAGCTAGTGCAATACCCAACGGCTCGGCCATACCACCCTGTGCACATCGATAGAGACGATGGTGAATAAAAGGTGACCAAAAGTCTCGCTGAAGAATTTTTTTCGGATAATCGCGAACTCTCTGGAAAAGCTCCTCGAACAATTCCGTGGTATTATCAGCGGCCTGATCATAGCCCGGGAGGAAATTGTTCGCAAAGAAGTCATCGTCACAGCTGAAATCACCATTAGGTGATAACCCTATGGACGAAGAAGCACCTGATAACGGAGGCACCGGAGGTGCTTGTGAAAGAGCGAGAGGTTCACCCGGACCAGGCATAAGAGGGGCAGGCATCTTCGATAGATGCGGTTGGCCTTGTGATTGAGCAAAAAGCGAGAACAGTTCGCTAGGAATCTCCGTGGGATAGTCTCCAGCGAGGAAATTCTCGTTCCAACCTAGGGAAGTTGACAGGTCGAGGGCAGGAAGTGCTCCATCGCTGATATTCTGAAGCATGACATCCACGTTACCGGCCTCTGGGCTCCACTGGAACGCTGCTACACTGCTACTATCATGAGAACTGGAAGAGGTTGCCAGACTACCGCTGAAAGGCATACTTGAGGCAGAGACAGCGACATCGAGAGTTCCACTGGTCGAAGAAGGCTCTGTTGTCATGGTACTATCATCCTACTCCGAGATGAAAACCAGAACGAACCTCGATTAACAACTGCTTCAACAGAAGGTGCTTCTTGTACCTACGAACGTACGTACATCATAAAAAAAAAGGCAAACATACCTGGTTCACACGAGCAGTGGGTGGATAGTGACATGGCGTCTGTGTTTGAACACAGCGACTACATGCCGGGCGGGTCAAGCAACACCGCAGCTTTTTCTGCGCACAAGTCTCGCAGGACTTTCGCTTGGATACACGCTCATGGTTAGCAGACTTAATGCAACGACGTCGGTGCCGGTCTCGAAGGTCGCCTAGATGTTGGAGTTAGCTCTCTAGGCCCCGCAGTTAGGTGAAAGAAAGAAAAAGGTCATATATACGCCGACGGTAAGACTTGTTGCAATGGTGGCATCGAAAGTCGCCATCAGCAGCGGCAGAGTCCATGTTCTCTAGTGCATACTATATTCCAAGAAGAAGAATAGGAGAGCTGCTCGGACGTCGAGATACGATAATACTTCTTTTTTTTTTTCTTGTTCGTTAATCGAGTCAAGCTCTTTCGCCTGGATATACAGGTTTGACTCTTTCGAGTCTTTCAGTATCTCAAGTCACCTTTATCCTCAACCGCTTTAGTTCGTCTGACTTACGTAAACGCAGACTATTGCATCCCAAGGATCCAGGTATCTTCGATGGACTGGGAGTTCTTTGTCCTATGAGAAAAGGAATGCTAACTGTTGGTGAGCTCGGTTGGGGGTCCGAGATTCTCTCTTCCTGCTCCTAATTACCACGTCAGAACGAGAAGATGACAACTACAGCTGTCGGGATTTGGGATGCAGATGGCTCGCATTATACTATTTAAGGAGTGCTATATTCCTTTTTCAAACCTGTATTTCGTTTTTGCTGCCCCCAGGTATGTTAAGAGCCTTGCTCAAACTACAGGCTACCGCCCATTTTTGAGATGACCTTGTGCTTATCATACTATTAAACCACGCTTTACTAATCAAACGTTAGGACTGGTATGACTCGTAGGTCGCTTGGACGGCGGCTGGGACAGTACTATCAAAAGTTCTCGTATATGCAGAGCGAGCAGAGCCAGATCCATGGGCCCATCATATCAGGAGAATAGGAGAAAATGTGTCTATGTCGTCATCAATATGATGTATGGAGTGCATGGCATGATGCACGACGCAAGATGCGAGAATGTCCCGTCTATAGTTACATTTGGCCATCCCTGCGGCACGGCTTTGCCGGAAGGAAGGCGGTATGTACATACCTACACAGCAACAGAGCGAAGACGACTGTAAGAATATGTATTATGCTCCATACATATACATGTTCGAGAATAAAATAGGCGCCTCAAGAACCACTGCACACGGAGGATTAAATATGGATCCAAGTTCGGACCGAAGACCTTAATGGAGTTTGCCTTTCTTTTTGGTCTGATACATTAATGTGACAAGACTCCATGATGCCGCCACCGCCAGCGATGCCTGTTACCTCGTTGGGTACAGGGGTTGACCGTTAATTTCATCCCGTCCTAGGGAGATTTACTACCTTATACGGAAATCAGTAAACGAGACGCTGTCAATTTCCTCTATTATGGCTTCATTTCGATTTCGAATATCTAAACTAAAGGTTGATTATATTGCCAAATTGCTGAATTAAAAACAGGCGATTGGAAGAAATAATATTGACCAAAATTAAGGCAAGAAATTACTTCCTCCACTCAGCTTGAAAACATATGGGAAGAACAAAAAAAAAAATTATCTCTAGCTAACTATTGGTTAGATACCGTTGTCTGCGGCTGTTTGATACTTTGCATCTATGTGTTGCGCGAAGTCCACGAACTCGCGAACCACTGTCAAGCCCTGGAGATACGACAGTCGTGGATCACATAGGCTTCGATAGTTCGTACCGAGTTTCTCCTCTGAGCCCATTTCAGAGCCGTCAACGCACTCGGTCACAAACTCTCCGGTTTGTTCGAGATGCAGGCCTCCAAGGGTTGAGCTATTCTCCTTGTGAACTCGGTAACACGTTGTTGCTTCTTGCAGGATCCGACTAACATGGCGTGTCTTGTGTCCCGAGTTGGCACTGCAGGTGTTGCCATGACATGGATCACACATCCATAGGGGCCTGTGGCCGGATTTGCGAACAGCCTGGATAAGAGGAGGAAGAACGCTCTCAACCTTGTCCGCACCCAGTCTAGTAATGATGGTGATGCGGCCAATATGCTCATCGTCATGAGCATTGGGGCAGATGCGGTCCAGCAACTCTACCAAGGTTTCTCCTGTCATGCTAGGTCCGATCTTGATCCCGATGGGGTTTCGAAGCCCACGAACGTATTCGACATGGCCGCCATCTAGCTGCCGAGTCCTCTCGCCAATCCAGATAAATGCAGCGGAGGTATTGTAGCGACCCTCTGTTGAAGCACTCTCGAGGGGCAGGTGAAGGGCCTCGTGCGAAGTATAAATAGTTCCCGCATTGGGTCTCATTGCAGCCCCTTCTTCGCCATCAGCCGGAGTCGCTGGAAAAGAAGCCATGGGTGGTGTCGAAAGCGCATCTGGTCCCCGCATAAGATTGAGAGTCGCTTGGGAGTGGAAGTATCCAAGCAGCAGTCGGTGAGGGTCAGGCTGGCGCTCCGATATTTCCGATCCGTTGACATTATGTCCCCTGAACGTAGGGACTTCTGTTCCATCGGGAAGTGTTTCCCATAGAGATGAACGTGGCTTAGCATATTGACCAGCAATTCTCCCAACCGTGGCCACCGATCTGTTCAGCCCGTGGGCCAGTATATGGGACTGCTCCTCGAGAAGCCTGACCTTCTGGTTGACGATTTGAGGTCGTACATCATTGAAGCTCTCTGCGCAGTCACCCCCCTGCAGAACAAATGCCTTTCCGAGTGCTGCTGCTGCGAACTGGCTTCGAGCAGCCTCAATTTCCTCTGGAGTGATCAGAGGCGGCAAATTTGCGATCGTATTACAAACGTCATGAAGGGCCTTGGGGTCCCTATATTGAACCTCCTGGATGATAATCTTCTTGGTCATCCATGAAGTTGGAGTCCAAGATTTGTCTGAGCCGGCTGAATGAACAGCAGCTCTCTCAGGCACTGGGATGTCGTTGAACATAATGGTAGATTTCTGGGTTGACACAATCATGGTGAACTGCAGTTGGATGTTTGATGTTTGATGGTTAACGAATACTGCCGGGTCGTTGCCCACACATTTTGGCGCTTTATATACCTGAAGTCAGTCACCATTTAGGTACTATTCAACAAGCCATTAATTCGGAGATTGCCTGGTACGGCGTTTCACTGTCAACTTGCATGGACTTGTTAATTTGGTCCTCTGAGGATATTTTGAATGGACTGGAATATCTTAACCACAGGGAGAGCTCCATTTGAGCTCGTGTAGGCAACAGTCCAGCCTCCATGGCCCTCAGATATGGACCTTTTCATCGTGGTCATATTATCGGGGCAAAACTGGATAGACTGCATGAAGAATTATACCCTTTTGCGTTTCGGAAAGAGGCCGTATATCTGCAATTGATCCTCAAAATATTAGACAGGAATATTCCTTCTATTGAAGCGTATAATGTCCGAGGTATAGTATGTTGAAAGGGAATGCTGAAGGAGTGTAAGGACGTATTCGCAGTATTGAGGCTGCAGTTGTCTATGCCATCTCTCCCCGATAGTATATCTGGTTGCATATCATTGCCCTCTGAGCTATAACTACTATTCATTATGGTATATGCTTCCATCTTCGTCGTTATCTGCTGCTCCTACGATGCCTTCAAAGATTGAGAGGGAAATGATAAGCTCCTCCAATCCTTTGGCAAGCTAGCTTCATTTGCTTGAAGGGCTATCCTATCTTGAAAGAGATCCTTCAGACGCAATTTGGCCTTTACCGCATCTCTTCTTGCTTATGGAAGAAGATATTTGATAATTGAAAGGACGAGATGGCGGGATTCCAAGGCTGATTTTTCCCAAAGCCTACCAACGGCCAGAGTTCCCCATTGGCTTTACACCATTCATCAAGAAATGCTTCAACATGCGAGATTTCCGAGCCTCTCATAGGAATGAGGGAATAGTGTGTTGATACCATCCTAATTACCAGAGACCATTATACAGCCCTGCTATGGCATCTCAAAGCCCCTACGTTGCACTTTGCTCCTCGTATGCTGACCTAGCTAGTTGACGATAGAAAGACGGGTATTGGTAAATGTCTATCTCTGTGGGCGTAAAACAAGTGGCTGTGCTGCTAACAGGGCAGCCACTTGGAAGATTATCAACCGTCACCTTTCTAGGGTCTTCTGGTGTTCATTTTGTTTAATTCTATAAAATCCACTCATGAATAAAAATGCCCTTATCGTATAAACATACTGAGGCATTCTTCAAGCTTTGGCAGTTAAATGTTTTCGATGTGAATCTCTTCCAGAATTAACGTTACATCACTGGTGTAGCATTGAATATTACTGTCATATCTGACAGTAAGTTCTTAGATATGACATCTTTGACACTTTTATCATATATGAACATGGCTGTTTCACAGCAGAAATGTCTAATCACCATGTTTGCTTCTTCGATATCTTAACAATGAATATCGAAGACTCGCCTTCCATAGACATGATAACGAGACGGTTTTTTGGAACTTCTGGGGGTCAACCACCTCCTCCCAGCCTGCATCGCATGATAGTTGCATAATAGTCTGTCGTAAAGAGCGGTAAAATTGCGAGTTCTGGCAGGTCAAAAAGTCAAGGTTTTCGCCTGGATATTCAGCGAGCCCCTGGTTAATATCGCATCTCGACTATTATCTCGCCCGAGCTGGCGGCCCCAAAGAGTAGTGGTCAAGGGTCAAGCATCAAACCTTTCCCACCAGGATTATTCCTGGCGAAGCAGGCGAAGCATGCATGGTGATGGAGTGTTATATTTCCCCGCGGGGAAGCAAAACTCGCGATGCTGATTTCACCATAACTATCGAACCAACCGTATCTATCCACGGATGCAACGAATCTCAGGGCCTCTTCATCTTCTTCTCTCTCGTCCGTCTCTCCGAGCTGCATGTAATAACCCCCGACCCATGCGTATAGTAGTTATTATGCTCCATTATTCACTCGTTATCCCAACAGCCCTACCTAGTCGAATGGAGCGGGCTCGCTTCTGGAAGCTCCATGATGGGGACAGAAGACCTCGGGCTCTCAAAAAGGAGACAGCGGATCCTCCCCTCTTCTCGAATTTCTTCCCCCTTGCAATTCAAGCTGTTGCGCTAAAAGCTTGGTTTCTGTTAGTCTGAGGGCGCGGATTGGATTCTCGAAGGATGGCCCAACCAAGGCTTTTTGCTATCGAAAGGCAAACATGAAAAGGAGGCCACACGGGAGGCAATCAAATCTATATCATGAGGACAGCAACTTGTACGACCTTCCAGCCATGATATCTGATATGCTGCATATACATAGTACGTCGCCTTGGTCGGGTTCGTCCGTCCATACGAGCTCTATGATGCTCTCTCTTCGTGTCTGGCTCTCGCCCTTGACCATGCCTGGGATAATCATCGTTAGCTTTAACTATGAATTCTGAACCCTGTGGCGGGTAGCAAAGGAGATGCAACCTTGTTGGATAAATCCCGGACTTTGAATACCTCGGCAAGCTGGTCGTTTCGTTTCGTTTCTTTTCTTCCGGGGCTCCAGGGCAGTAATTTTATATCCTCCGTAGTTGCTGGGTCGCAGGGTCGAAGGCTGGACGGCCAGCCATGCCGTATTTTGTTAATATCGAATAATGGTATGATAACAATGCCTGTCAGCTGGGAGAAGGAGGATCAACGCCCCCCCCCCCCCCCCCCCCCCCCCGAGCGTGTTGATAGGCCGTCAAAATCCATGTATATATAAAGCCGGATGTCTGCTCCCTTGAAGATGTTTTTCAACCCTCCCCGGACTCTTGCTGTGGAAGAGAAAAGGGAGTCGACTTGTCGAACTTGATCCAGCATGAAGTTCACCAGATGCTTCATCCAGGGCGCTGCCCTCGCCCTCCTTGCAGGCCTGGGTTCGACTTTGGGGCTCGCCAACTCCAAGTTGAGCAGAGACCTTCATGATGCTGCCATGATGGGTTTGGATCCTGATGTTGCTCTGCGCCCTGAGCAGTTCGCAACCATGATGGCTGGCAGTCAGTCTGCAAACCCAGTTGCAGAGACCTTTGACGTATGGCCCCTTTTGTCTGTATAAGATGTAGATATGCAAGGCTAACAAGTTGATAGATGCCCATTGACCACAAGAACAGCAAGAGTGGTACTTATAAGCATCGTTTCTGGATCAACGAAGAAGACTACAAGCCTGGTGGTCCAGTCTTCGTCTTCGACTGCGGTGAGGCTGCTGGTCAGAGATACGCAAACAACTATCTCTATAACGAGACCAACTTCTTCAGACAGTTCACCAAGAAGTTCAATGGCGTTGGGATTGTTTTCGAGCACAGGTATGTCTATTGATGCGGGTTTTCTTGCATATACAACATATAACTAACAATGGATAAGATACTATGGAGAATCAACTCCCTTCCCAATCTCTGTCAAGACTCCACCGGAGCACTTCCAGTACCTCAACAACGACCAGGCTCTGGCTGATCTTCCTTACTTTGCAAAGTCATTCAAGCGGGCTGCTTTCCCCAACAATGACTTGAGGCCAAATGCCACTCCTTGGATCATGGTTGGCGGGTCGTACCCCGGCATGAGAGCTGCTTTCACCCGTGACAGATACCCAGAGACCATCTATGCCTCCTGGGCTTCTTCAGCTCCTGTTCAGGCCCAGATCGATATGGCAGTATACTATGAGCAAGTGTACAGAGGCCTTGTCGCCTACGGATGGGGTAACTGCACCAAGGATATCCACGCTGCCTACCGATACATTGACCGCCAACTCTCACGAGGAGACACCGCCGCAGCCATCAAGAAGCTGTTCTTGGGTGAGGGCGCCGATAAGGCTAGCAACGGAGATTTCACTGCTGCTCTGATCGTTGCCTACGCTGGATGGCAGTCGTCCGGGGCCGACGGCCAGGTCGGCAAGTTCTGCAACTGGCTCGAGGTCGACCCCCATACCAACAAGACCGCTCCTGCTGAAGGCTGGGCCCCTACCTTGGGAGACAAGGCCATGGCCGAGAGATTCGCTGCCTGGCCTACGCTCGCTGAGATGGTCAATGCCAATGCCATGACCAACTGCAAGCAGACCGACAAGTCCAAGCCACTCGAGTGCAAGCTCGACAAGCCAAGCGAAGACCCAGACTTCATCAGCTGGATCTGGCAGTACTGCAGTGAATGGGGCTACTACCAGGGCGTCAACTTCCCACAGCACGCTATCCTCTCCAGATATCAGACCAACCAGTGGAACCAGGAGTTCTGCTACCGCCAGTTCCCAACCGGTGTCAGGAGCGGCTACCTTCCACTCTTCCCCCAGACAGTCAAGACCAACCTCGCTACCAAGGGATGGCATATGCGTCCATCCAACGTCTACTGGAGCGGTGGACAGTTCGACCCGTGGAAGACCCTTTCCCCCCTATCCACCGAGTCCTTCGCTCCTCGCATCGAGGTTTCCAAGGAGATCCCGAAATGCAACGTTTCCACCGGGCCAAAGAAGATCTTTGGATATGTAATCCCCAATGCTCAGCACGTCTATGACTTCCGAACCTACTTCAAGCCCGGTGCTGTTTCCAGACAGCTCTTCAACGATGCCTTGGAGGCATGGCTTCCTTGCTTCCAGAAGCATTAAATTAATTATATGACTACGTCAAAACAAAATGAATGACCTTAATGTCTGGATGAAGTTGCTGGTTCGTGGAGAGAATCATCTCCATGCTAGAGACGGAATAAAAATATGTATATAATTTTACTCTAGTGTCATATACATATCTGTTTCATCAAAAGACAGTTTTCGAGTCCGAATAGAGGATATTAACCAAGAGTATATTGCTGGCTACTCTCATGCAGCATCGGTAAGGAGAATATTGGTAGCACAATTTACCAAACAATGGAACATTAACCATGTTGGAGATTGATTTTACGAGCAGCCTTGAGCACTCAAGTTCCTTATATTCAGTTTTAGGCAAGTCAACTTCTTCCCTTGTCCAAAGATTCCATCTGATATATACACAACGGGTCAACTACATCACACCAATATAAAGTGGATGTAACTACCGTCTTGCGGGTAGTTTTTTTCATTTCAAATAATACCAAATCGCCCAAAAGTCATGAACCAGCAATTTGTACATCCTACGTCAACGGATGGAGGCATTGTCACCCCATATCAAAACATGGATCGACCCGACGGCAAGCAGCACATATAGACAAAGGCCAAATCACCAATATTTTCCTCGATGCATCATCATCTACTTCATCAGAAGCCATGCCACGTGTGTGCGGCTTGTGCGAGAGCCAGAGCCAAATATATGCAATATCGCTTCTATTAAGGATGGCGGGAGGAAGATGAACGGACGCTTTAGAATCACAAGCTCCAATATCAGAGGGCGTTATAGGATATGAACGGCTCACTTGGTGGCCCCTTTGGACCATTTCACAAGCATATATCATTATATCTACGGTAGCACATGTCCATGGAACGGAGGGTTCACCATTGTTGGTTTCGCCCGACCTCTACTTCCACAAAATCCTCCAGTACGCCATGTTATTCACGATACAGTGCAAGATCAACGTCTCTAGCACAACGGCTTCCCGGGCGGTGCTGTTTCCGAGAGACGCTAGATGCCGCAGGAAGACGGTGGAGAAGAGAAGATCTATGATAGCCATGGGTTTAACGGCACTTTGGATCTTGTGGACGCCGACCGAATCCCCAGGGCACAAAGACGGTTAATGCATGTCATTGTGCACCATGTAAGAGTAGGACGATGGCGATCTGGGATGGTGGGAGAGACTTGGTATACAGCTGCCAAATGCCAGTATGCCATGCACTCCTCAACACCCAGCTCTTATTGCATACCTCCGCGTGCTACAGTTGTCATGATGAAACGCAATCTAGCACAAAGTTCATGCTATGAGCCGCCGGCGAGGATATCCATCCCGGATCCGACGCGAAAAGGAACCCTTCACGGTTGGACTATTGATATGTTTCTGTCTTCGAGAAAACTTCCGCGATAATTGCCACTAACATTTCCATGCATTACAAGAGATCATATATCTTGAGCCTAGATCTTTTGCAACCGAACGCCATCTTGTATCCGATAGTTATTTGACTGCTATTTGAAGAGACAGACTTAACTTCATAACAACGGACAAGCAATGTAGTTTGCAAATAATCGCCATAAGACACTGGCAGGACGATGTTTACAAAATTCCACAGTCCAAAATACAGTCAAAGTTGTTCCTTTTGAGCCCCGTTTTACGACTTTCTTCTAACGGCCATCACTCTTTCAACTCCTTACACAAGCCTTGAGATTGCTTGTATCACATCAAGTCGATCCCGAGGCTGCATTCGCGTTAACAAAAGAAAACACTGATCCTATCAAAAGAAAATACGAGAAAGCCGCGAGAGCAACAAAAAAGGACTGTCCATGTTTCAACCCACGCTGGAAGCTAGAGAAGAAGAAAAGCATCTTCGCTGAGCCGCCTTTCCAACAGTTAATAATATCGCTTCTTTGATGAGCTATTAATAGTGAATGGGAGCCTGGTTACACGCAGAGTTGTCAGTATCATGCAGGCCGAAAAGAAATAGAAGAAGAAGAAAGCAGCCAACGTCCATATGTCGCTAGAGGCTCTTTTTGACTGATGTGGTGCAGACGATGATGGGCTTAGGACGAGAACGCCTTTCAAACGAGGCTGGCAGAGAATATCTTGCTGCATTAGAATAATGTTCTGGCATGTTATATCCAAGGGCCGGCGACTTGCACAGCCCTTATTCTACGGAAGAAGAGACCATGCATCAAGTTGCACTCTTTGGTCGTATATTACGGATGCTGAGCCCCTGCAGTCTGCCGCATAAGTATACGCCCATCTGGTCAAGAAAGAGATGTACAGCCGGTAATGAGACACTACGGAGATATACACCAGCTAGCACATGCGCTTTTTTCTTTTTTACAAACGCGAGGTTGTACGAAGTGCTTCGTTGTATATGGCCATGTCGTTGGTTCTATGTGCACCGTTAAGACAAGACCCTGAGATACCCTTTTCACCTTCACAAGCCGGGCGCCCTTCTTACCATGACTTTCAATATAATAAACATGGCACCCGCATGAGAGATCGACCAGCTGGAAGCCTTTCTGCTGCCTGGCACACTTTGATGTATTCCAGCCGGTGGAATGAGCCAACACACACATAAGGCTGACAAGAATCTCCCAAAAGACATCAACATATCCAGCTCCTCTTCTCTTAGCCTTTAGCCTTTCCATTCTGGTGCTAGAAGCGCCATCTTCTCTGCAAAAAGGCCTTTATGATCATGTTGTCAATGCTTCTTATATTCAATGATATGGACCTCAGAAGAAACGCAGATCGCGATTGCGGCCTCGATCTGTGCTCTCCAGATTTTCATCCGCTCACTCGTTCGCATCGGCGGAACACTGAAATGGTTTCCTGCCTTACAGCAGCAGAAGTGGCGTGCTGATGACAGCTGGATGGCCTTTTCCCTTGTCCCCTTGTCAATCAGGACATTTTGTATGTGTTGGACCTTCTCTCTAGAAAGTCCGCTTTCGGATCACGACGAGAGGCTTTATCAAAAACTTGTCATAACGGGCCGTTTAACCTATGCAATGTTGTATGTGTGGATACTGCTTCTTTACAATGGTTTGGACTGATATTCGTCTTCTTTTTTAGTCTCTGGTGCATGAAACTGTGTCTCCTTCAGTTCTATATCCGACTGGAAACTGGGTCAAATCGGGTCCATCGAGCGATCCAGATGCTCCGAGCATTCCTCTTTCTTACCTTTATAATCATTATCCTTGCGACGTTGCTAGAGTGTCGACCAATATATGTGTAAGTCCCAACTCTATAAAGTTCTCTATGGATTGAAGCTTATATACTAATACATCTATACAGTGCTTGGAGGCCGGAGTATGTCCATCGTAAGTCCCAAATTATCCGTAAGCTGCACCGGTGACAAGTTCAAACTAAACGTTTTGTATAGATCCATGTCGAAAGGGGACTGTGAACCTACTCTCTATGGCGTCGTTAAATATAATAACAGACGTCGCACTAATTCTATTTCCAATCCCGCTTCTTTGGAGGATGAGTTCTCTCAAATTTCAAACGTAGGTTTTCAAAGTCCATCTTTGGCCCACATTCGTCGCTGATAACGATAATAGTAAAGTTCAATTAACACTTCTCTTCCTTGTCGGCACTCTCGTGGTAGCAGTTACTATCACGAGGATACCCTTAATCCTCAGTCACTCTGTCGCTCAAGAGTCACGAACCTTGGTAAGCCATGTCCGAATCTATATAGGCCCTTCCTTTCTCCATAGCCAGGGCTGATATATGTATGGGCCATACAGTGGGCTTCGGTTGAGATTGTATGCTCAGCTGTCACCGCGAATGCAGCATTCTATTACGCCCTGTGGAAAGAAAGCCAGCAATACTTTCAACGGTTTACCCACACAGCAGATGATCTGGCTTTGCGGCTTCAATCTCTAGAAACATCGTCCAGGGCACCAAAGGCTCCGCATCTTTGGGCTACAAGGGCTAGCGAATCAATAGCTGGATGTAGAGAGAGCATCGATATTGCGGAATATTACCTACAGCTTTCTACACCCAGCAGCTCTTCATTTCTTTGCTTGGATAGAATGGAAGCAGGGGAACAGCGTACGGGCAAGGGATGAAGTATAGCATACTCCCTACTCTCGATTCAACGAGGCCCACTCATACGCTGCGATGTTTCTGATATCGATATTTATCGTCTGTAAGCGGAGACTTCGTGGGCAAAATACGCTGGCACCGATTGATTTTTCAGTCCCTTATACCTGAAATTACCAGGGCCTGGATACACGTACTAAACAGAGCTGTTTCTAAACACTGACAGATGGTATAAACGTCTGGCATGCAGGCGTTAGTTTACATTCATGCAACAATCCACTTTCAATGTGATGACTGGCTGCTGGTGATATTGGAAAACTGGGCTGTACACAGAAAGACTGACTTGGTCCTCCGGGTCTCTTTTAATGTGGATTTATCAAGATGCTATGCGTTTGTTGATATGATCAAATGACGATGCTGTATAATCAATTATATATGAACTATTTACACAGAAACTTATTCAAAAAACCAAATATCATGGTTTCATCACGAAGACGCAGTGATTCACTGTATAACTCCTGGCAATGCGAGGCTGGTATAGACATGGCCAAGAGAAGATGCAGGAAGAAGAGATTTAACTCACTTCTTCAAAGCAGCAAACCTTCGTGCGAGCTCATCTACTTCGGGTATTCCGCCAAGTTTACTCGCTATCTCCTTTGCAGCCGTGCTAGTGTTCGCCTCAGGTCGAGCATTAGAATCTCCAGAGGGCCCTTCGACCTGTTTATCTTCCACGGGCCGGGCATTCGTTGACGTCTCTTCTTGCTCAGTTTCTTGCTGCTCATTTATATCCACGTCTCCGTAAGGTATCCCATGGCTCCTTGCAATCTCATTCAAATAGCTCTCAACCAGGGACTCGGGTGCTTTCCGGACACGCAACCTATCCAGTAATATCTCTGGTAGTTCGACTGGCAGATCATCATCGTCTTGTGCTCTGCTAGCGAAATCGCTCCCCCATCTTAGAGCTAATTTATTCTTCACCTCTAATAGACCTGGAACGTCGCGGGGTATCCGCGCATAGGAGTAGAAGACCACGGCTGCAGAACGGTCGAGCTCGGGATCTAGATAAACGTCATACTGTTTTTCCGTGTTCTCTTCGTCTTTGCGCTCAGTTTGTGCGTCTGACCCGTCCAAGTGTTGATCCAGTTGCTGCGACGATGGCCTGTCCACTGCTTGCTGAGGTGCGGCCGCCGGTGAGGAAGAAGATGTTGACGAGAAGCCAAAGAGGTTCCAAATCCCCCAACCACTTCCAGTAGCAGGCTTGGTCCCCTCGCCGGTTTTTCCACCTCCAGGAGAACCTTTCGATCTAACCTCCCTTGCTGTCCTGCCCTTGTGTCTTGCTGGTGTCTTGTTTTTCTTCTGCCCAAAAGCAAGATGGTCCAAAATATTCGCCCGAACCTGCAGCTGCTCGCAGTGTAGCTCGAGCACCTCGAGTGCGGCGATCAGGTTATCATTCGAAATAACATCTTCAGTCTTTATTCGGGCGAAATCTTCCCTGCCTTCTTTCAGCAGCCTCGCAAGCTCTCTATGTTTTGCTTTGGAGTAGCCTTGCCGTTCTTTCTTGAGCTGACGGAGTCGAAAAACGAGCGCTTGAAGTGCGAATATTAGATCTTGCTATTGAAGAATAAAGAGAATATTAGCTCATATTCACTGTATCCTTAGAAAGATGTAGGGGCAGATATTTAATATATGTTCATGCGATTGCAGGCGGCTGGTTGTAAATACAACGACGTCATCGGCAGCGTTCAAGCCAGCAAGCGATGAACAGCGGTAGAAAAGAGAATACTCACAGTTTGTTTGGGCAGCGGCATCTCTGTTAGAAGTAGGAAATCATGTCGCAGAGTAATATATCGTGTCTCTTGCGTGTTGTTGTAGTAAATATGCGAACTCGGTGAAATTGATGCGGGAAGAGGCTTTTTGTTGGTGTTTCAACGTTCATCTTTGACTTCTTCCACTTCACGCTCTTGAATGCGATTTGATACTCGGTATAATAGACGGTCTACCTGTGGATGGCGCTATAGAACCTACTATAACGATATGATACCCTTGCCAGTTAACGAGCCTACGATTTCTGCCTGGTGGACGATGGAAAAGGCAAGGCAGGCGAACTTGATATGATGACCAGGAAAATGGACAGAAACATACCGGACGACGGGCCCTTGGAAGACCGTAGTATCTCCGAAAACTACAATATTGAGATCATCCATCAGTTGATGGCCTACGGGAACCAGAATCAGCCTTTGTGCGGTCAGAAGCTGAAATGACTGGCGGAGAACAAGGCCAGCACCATATATTCCTCTCCCCGGAACTTGGTACAGAAATATCTGGAGATTATGACATCAGGATGTATATGATGAAGCCGGCAAAATAAAGCACTTGCCGGTCCCAATACCAGCCTCTAGGCGCCACCAAGTGGGTGAGCACACGCCAGCTACAGCGGGCGTTGCACAACGTATCCAACATTATATGATGGCGATGTACTCTTACCAGGCGACGGAGTGAAGTGTCAGTTGTTGAAAGCGATAAACAAATGGCGATATGCCATAGTTTCCCACTGAAGGGCAAGTCATAGATGAGCTCTTTCTGTCAACAGGGTTGGGAAGTGATACATATACTACCGCCGAGAAAGATGATGAGGACGGCGATAGGAAGACCCATGGTGACAGACACATAACGCAGCAAGTCCCCCAGGCTGACGGTGCTACGGCTGTGAGACGGGAAGGTCACGCCACGGCCATCTGCCTACTTCCTTGCCCCAGGAGCGAGGTAGCAGAATGTTTCCTTGCAGGATTCACGATGGGTAAATGTAATTTGCCGTGCATCGCGGGTGCATGGAAAATGATAACATACTTGAAATTGGCTGATCTTGGCCAAATTCTTCTTGGTTATGTTAGAGCTGCCATGGATATATGTGGAAATGCATGACAGAGGCCAAATGCTTCTCAGGTTGTATATTGTAGCCTTTGGTAGTTCACGTTACCATAATAGTGCAAGGATGGAAGACGTCTAGAGAATGAATTTGTTGGTACCCAGTAGGGAGTTCCTTGAAAACCGAGATTTTGATCAACTTATCCTAGCTGCTAGAGATCATTATTATATTAATACCACTCAAATAAAGTTGACTGGAATAGATCGAGACAAAGCAAAGCGGTTATGAACACTGATTGAACGAAAGGGGTATGGGGTTTTTTTTTCTTCCTATAGAACATATTCATTTACGAAGGCGGTATATCCCATGGAAATTCTCATTTCCCGTGAAAGGGGTGGTGAGTCAATTGGAGGCAGATCTTCCCAATAATACTCGTCATCACTCAGAAAAGGAGAGTCAAACGGATAGCCTTCCCCATCTACTTCATTAGACAGGTGATGGTCGATAAACTCCGTTCGTAATTCTGACAGAAAGAGCAGGCTATCATCCATGCCTCCCCACCTTCTGGATGCGCCCTTACGCTTCAGTCGCTTTCGGTGCATCTCGGCGATGTGTTGTTTCTCGAATATGTACGGTCTTTTGGTTCTAGGGTGGGTGTGGGCGTAATGGCACTTGTTTTCAAAGAAGCAGACAGGTCGAAATGGAGGCTCTTCCTTTCCACGCTCTGTGGCTCGCTTTGCTTTTGTTTCCCAGTTTTTCACAGCCGCTTCGAAGTACCGGCAAGGTATCCTCTTCATGCTCCGTGTATATTCTGCAATGATTGAATCCTTCAACGGGTTAGGTGCGGCGGCATGGGCCTTTCCACTAGATCTGTTAGGGGCTGCTTCGCCTTCTACCGTACCTTTGGAGGCATTATCCGTAGCCGGGAGTGGGGTAGGAAACACCGCGGATGGTATGATGTATTTGCTTGGTTTACGGCAGAGCGGGCAAGATTTGATCATTTTCGATCCCCAGATGCCGTTGGCATTAGGAGTAGAGTAGCCATCGTCATGGTCGTTCCTGTCGGCCTTTTTTGAACTTCTCCACTGTCGGATACATACTAGACGGGCGATTAGCAGAGGCGCACTTGTTATATACACGGCGAAGCCGTTGGAGACAACATCAAACCTAAACAATATACGTGGTCGCAGTGAAGCAGCAAGCCGTAAACCTTTGGAACTTCCAGGCAAATGGCACAATACTCTAGCTCTTTTGTTGGATCATGGGGTTGGGCTGGCTGTGATATGAGCCCTCCTATCAAAACCCCGTTAATATTCCGATCTGGCGGGCGACCATGCCCTGGAGTCACACAAGCAAGGCTCTAATACGGCCGGACTCACGAGTATTCTGCAGCGCATCATCGCCTTCGCCGTCCGCAGCTGCTGCAGCTGCGGGCTTCTGGTCAACACCCAATAGACATGGATCATGGCGGAAGTAGCATGAGTCTGCCCGCCGGCAGTGGCCTCTCTTCCACCACTTGCAGTTGACTAGCCTGGGTTCAGCTGGCGCTGGACGTCCCATGTTGACCACTTCCAGTGTCTCCAGCTTGTCTCTTACGCCGCGTATTAAATATTAAAATATGAATCTGAGGACTCGAGAACTTGTCGACGTTTTTTTTTTGGCTTTGCAGCTGGAAATGCGGGAGGATAAAAAACGAGCTGCATTAAAGCGGCATTACATCATTTAAATAGATTCTTGTTTCCGATTGGGTGAAATTCGCTAAAACATGAAATAGGGGGGAAGGACAGTTTTATGAGAGCTGAAATATGTACAAAGTTATAGCGAACTATATGATTAAAAAGATATATGGATGCGGTTATGCGGTAAGTTCAGCTGTGTATAGAGACGAAGACGGGATATCAGTACGGACGGAGCACCTCCAGAGAAAATCCCGTGGAAAACGCCCTCCAAATACGTCACAAAGCTTCTTATCTGATGCTGATTCTAAATGGGGGCTCCAACTGGGAAGGACAAAGGGAAGGAGTCGAAAAACATGTGCCTGTGACGGCATGTTTTGAAGCCATAATTATGGTAAAATCTATGTACAAGAAGTTAATAATGTATAAGAGGGGATATCAGAAGGGTATAAGTATATAAAAATAAAAATTATCATAGAGGGTTCCAAAGGACGTCATAAAAAGCCCCCAGCCTATGCGTAAATCTCATCGATGAAAGGTAGATTAAGGAAAAAGGGGGTGAAGAAGGACGGCGCATATAAAAAGGGTATACCCCAGATGTCGGACGGGTATGTATATAGGCCGAAGTTCTTGCAGCCAGGCGCAGAGAACAAAAAGTGGGTTATAAGTGAAAAAGGTAGGTTAGGTATAAAATTAATAAGTTAAAAGTGCTTCCGTTCCCAGTGAATTACTCCGTATTATTTCGCTTTTTTTTTTCTTTTTATCAGAAGTTCATAAAGATCGACACGATCAGGAAGCTGAGTGTGAGACTCATAACGGAGATGGCGGTAGCTGATGCAGCGTTATGAGTTGGAGTTGGGGTATTGTTGGAGTTGGTTGGCGTTGGCATGATGATCGAGGAGCCGTTGGTAGGGTGATGGACCGACGAGCTAGGGCTCTCGATGAATACGTGGGGTGACGGTGTGTATTCGTCTGGAGATTTTGTGGTGGTCGAGTCAGATGCGGTCGAAGACGATGATTCGGCGGAGCTAGACTTACTTGAAGAAGAGCTTGAAGTTGGCGTAGGCAAGTATTCAGAGGCGGATGAAGTGTAATCGGACGTCGTTGACGGTGCTTCGGTGGAAGAAGAGCTTGCTGAGGTTGATGGCGGGACGGTTGAAGAAGAGGACTCAGGCTCTTTTTTATCGCCATCTTTTGGCTTATCATCTTTCCCGTAGCCACCCCCATTGCCGCCAGAGCCGCCACCGCTACCTGCCTCGAAAACGACAATAGTAGCCTGGGTACCCTTTGGAACAGTAACGACGCAAAAAGCTGCACCACCGGCGCCATCAGTCCCGCTGCCAGTGATCTCGTTGATTTTGTTCTTGGCTGGGTCAATTTCACAGGGGAGTCCGTTACATCCCTCACACTCTACCTTGACACCGAACTTGGGGCTCTCGTCTCTAAACGGAGTTGCGGGTTCAAGGTATATGGGGTTCCAGCCAAGTTTGAGGAAGGTCTGTCCGTTGCCATCGATATTTGCACCGCCGACATATGGAGCCCAGTTACCCCACGGGTTTGTGTTTGTTCCCCAAACGCAGGCAGTGTCGGTATCTGTGCCTGGAGGGTTGATGTAGTAGCTAGATTCATTTAAGTCAGTAACATAGAAACAGGGAATACTCAGGCTGTTTCTTTCGCTATTGCTTTCAATCACTTACTGGGCAGCAGTAGAGCACCAATAGGATGGATCGGGAACTGCAAGGTCTGCGGTATCTTGAACACTGGTGGGGATCAACATGGCTTCATTCCCCGGGAGGACAGTCTGGCAGAATGAAACCACTCCTCCGCAGCTATTTTTAACCTTAACAGAGCCCGATGCATCCACGCAGTATGGTTTCTTAGGGAAAGGCTTGGAAATATTTCCACTCTTATCGCAGTAAAGACCACCGTTCTATCAATAATAGTTAGTCTCAGTTTGAATCCAATCCAACGACGAAAAAGATATAGGAGATATATATCAGATATTGGGCATACCATTGAGACAGGATAAGAGTAGGAGGTCGCTTCCGGGTCCCATTGTGCCATAACTTGTCCAGGAGGGCACGCGTAGGGGCAGTAGTTGCCGGGCTTGCAAGGCTGGTCAGGACTCATAGCCCAGCCAGCGTTCTGCTCGTTTGGGGTTACCGATACCAGCCCAGCATCAGCAGGGAACTGGCATTGACCATCTCTCTTCTCAATATAGGACACACCATGCCCCTCCAATGAAGGAACAGATCGGTGGAATTTCTGATGGCCGCCATGGTGACGGCTCAGTCCAGGCGCATAACTATGGAAGTCGGCATGTCCGGCCTCAGACACACCTGCGAGGAAGAACAGGACGGCAGACGCCCAGAACGGTATGCGCAACATATCGAATTTTCGATCTCAGGCTTTGTCGCACGGCTGGTGCGCAAACGTTGACCGTTTTTCCAGCAGCTTTTGGGCGATTTTTCTTTCTGTCCACAACAGCGCGAAAGTAGCGGTTTAAACAGGTAAACGGAAAACAGAGAGGATGGCCTCCAACAGTATTCAAACGACCTTGTGGTAGAAAGATATAACAGTAAGGAATGGAACGCGGGGGACAACCTCGACAGTAGTACTAAAGGAGTGACAGGTTTCGCAAAAAAAGAGTGTGGGAGTTGAGGTGCAAAAACACTTTTCGAGGAGGATATTGGAATCAGCACCACATAAAAGGAGGTCAGGTCAATGGCGACTATGTACTATGTACTGTTTAGTGGGACCCTTCTCCTAGGCCTGGTGGTCACCAGGGGAAGAAGAAATGCGTCCTTCTTAGTGGCATCGGCGACCATGGTTGTACTGTGGCTAGTCAGCCAGGGACGGCGTCGGTCCAGGAACGCGGACAGTGCCTTGCATCACAATGGGATCCATCCAATCCAAGGCCGGCCCTCGATCTAAAAAAAGGGCGCTTCTGTACGCCATCACCAACTAACAAGATATTAGTGCCTTGGTTTTTGCACAGGGCTCAAACGTTGTCCCGCCCATAAAAAACGAATATTTCATCCAGATGGGATGCATCTGCTGGAGTATCCAATTGCCAGCTGGCTAGATGTGTCCCTTTCATTTACGGAGTACTCTATCCCCAGAAGCTCTGGATATATATGGTGAAAGAGCCTTTGAGGAACCAAGCCATCTCTCGCCTCCAGAAAGGAAGATTTGGTAGCATAGTGCGAGGGTTAAATTGAGATCGCCAGCGTACTCCAATAGAATCCGCCACAGGGATCCAGAGGTCTCCGAGGTTTCGTCGAATAGCCTCTTGGCCCTCGCACTCCAGCCTCTGTTGCTGGTCAGTTCCAAAGCCAGCTGTTGCGCAAAATCGTGGAGGTTAAAATCGCTAGTTTCCTTCAGATGAAAAGATCGAGCCTCAGAAGTGCACAAGATGTGTGGTTGAGAAAAGGGGGCCAGGAGAAACTGAGTGATGATGGCTTCAAATATGATGTATGGAAGGTGAAGAGGATAAGCTTTCACATCTTCTTGTCGAGGTGTTCGCGCTGGTAGACTTGGTTGCATTTAGCTGTTCAGCCATCAGCATACACTACCATTAGTTAATCTTTAAAACGATTATCATGGAGGAACGGTCTATACAGAAGTGTGTACTCCGTACCCTGTATAGCTCCTGAATACTCCGATGGACGATCTTCTGTCAAAAGTTCACTCCTTTTGACAGTGAAAATCGCTCAATCTATTTGGTTTCTTTCATTGTGACGGAAACTCTCGCCAGCCATGGAAGAGCTCGTCAGTCGGAAGATTTTCTTCTTGGCTTCCGGCCGTTGACTGGTTGTCGCGCCATCCCCAGGCAACACAGTAGTGTCGTGCGAGCAATTGCCATTCCTCGATCTCATCTAGCATCTCAAGTCCAGCAACCCGGCTCTTCTCGTCCTCCCCGATCCACTTCTCCCATATATAATCTATATCGGCGACTCCCTGGCCGCTCGAAAACCCGTGGCCCTGTAAACGCTCCCTCTGGGCCTGCAGCGTCGCATAGCGATGCAACGTCTGCAGTTGGATCCCACGAGCAGCTAGGTTGCTCACCATCGTCCGTCCAAACGGGTCATCGGGCCTGATGGGCTCGTATATAATCAGCGCAAGAGGCGTGCTCGGCCTACCCTCTAATGAGAATAGGTTATTTGTGAAGTAGGAAACCACGTTAACAGCATCGACCGGGGACAGATACACGAGGCAACACTCCGAGATCAACAGCGTCGGTATATCTATATCGATCTCTTGTAGATGCGCGCGGCTGGGGCCGGACGTGGAAGAAGCTGTGAGTGTTCGTAGATCTATGGGGTGAATGTGGTAGTATTCCGAGTGAAACGCATCGCCATTGGGAGACGTGGTCACTTCTTCTCGGCCTGTGATGCGAAGAGCGTCAAGTAGAAGTGGAGAGGAGAGGATCTTCGTGATCTTCGAGGTCGTGTTTTCCGCAAAGTCGAGCTCGTGGTATATCAGTTCCAGCGCGGGATTCTCAGACAACAGTCGGAATGCTCGGGTATCTGACCCTGCTCCGAGTGAGACTATCTGTTTCTTCCTTTCGTCTGTACGGAGGAACCTGGATACCAGTTTGTCGATCGAGGTTGTCCGTACGTATGTTCCTAGAATCGTCTCGGGTCAGCAGGAATGTAGCTTGCTGGTGAAACAAAGCACCATACCCCTGTTAATAATAGGATATCTTCGAGCCTCTGCCGCCTCAGACGCAAAAATAGAGGCAAAAGGATCGTGAAGATAGCCCTGTTCTACAGCGCTGAGTCTCGAGACGCTGGCATCGTTATCCGTCTGCTGCACCACCTTGTCGTTTGAGATGGCCGCTCCATGCCCTGCGCCGTGATAACCAGCCCTGCTTCTCCCACGGCCTCTTCCACCGCCTCTCCGGAGAGTACTAAGGTTCGGAATGTGAGGAGCTGACATCGTAGAAGTGGCTTTGCGACGCTTCTTGACGATGTTTTTGTGTGGGTTGACTTTTTGATAATCATACAAAAAAAGCCCCGCGGTGTTTTTTCCCTGTTGAGGCTGACATCATATGTAACTATTTACAGGGTCAAAGATTGTACGCTTATGATGAAGAACCACGACAACGTCAAGTCTGGTGACGAGTCATGGGTAAACATGGCTCTCTATAATGCTCTAATGCTAGTGTAGCTATCCATAAATCATGAATACAAAAAGCTGTTGCGACATAGTGGACAGCTGCTTGAGTTGCTGCTCTTGAACCACCTGAACAAACAATCCGAATGGAAGTTATTCTTGCATGTTCCACACCTTTTATTTGGCGTCTGCATGTTTGAAGAGATGATAGAGCAGCAGATAGGACACTCTCCCTGTCCTTTCAAGGCTCCCTGGACGTTACGTCTGAAGGCTAGCAGCCCGTCCATGAGGTTTCCGTTGGAGAACAGTATCACTCCCTGGATCACCAGCAGCCAACTCTTCCATTTCTTCTCATCGACAGCTACTCGCGAGCGGCCAGTAACAATGGCTTGATGTAGTGGGTATGTTGGGGGAAGCGAAATGGCGATGGAGGTGGGAGGTGATTCCTCATCGATCTCGATGCTACCAATAATTTCGGCCGCTTTGGAGGATGTCTTGACTTCCAGTGCATGGTCTTCGCCGTCCCAGTCCTGCCCTGAGTACCAGTCACTCACATTCCGCAGCGAGTCCTCTATTATCAGTGGTGAAATCTGCGATCACACATTAGCAATACCCTTTCAATTATTTCCGCCGGATGGCCTAACTTTGGACTTACGTATTTTTGTGTCCAGGTTTCCACTGGTGTCTTCAACCGTTTCTTGCAGTCCACCCACCAAGCCCTTGTAAGGTTCGGCAGGTATCTTAGAGCAAGATAATACGTATGGACTAGGAGCCAGTGCATCTCCTTCTTCGGTGATTCAGAGCTGTCTAACTCAAAGGACCGAATTTCGAACTTGGAAGCATCAACGAGTTGGCCCTGGGAAGATTCAAGGCAGTCAAATGCGAAATCTAATAGTGGATTTAGGCATTCTTTCTGCTTTATATCTGAGTTGTAGCTCTCTTGGATCGGGATTGACTGAATTTAAGAGTCATGTTAGTATGAAAATGGATAAGGTGCTAGAAGTTTTAACTCACAGAGGATGCGAAATGGTCAAACACCACCTTCCAACCAAGGAGATATGAGCGAGCTCCAAGCCAAAAATCTTCATCTATGGTTGTCTCCCTAAGCGGTACTGCTGGTGGTACCTCCGAGAGTAGAGACAGCAGTTCATCTGGTAAAGTGACAGCTATTTTGGATAGAGCTACATCGAAAGACAAGGTCTCTTGGATCTTGGGGATTACTCGATGAATGATTCCATAGGTCGCACGCTGCACACCCTTATTCTCGATAGTAAGACTTGAGAATAGTTCTTTAACATCTGAAATTGAATCAGTATTAATTTTTGACAGTTCTCGAGATAGAAGATCCGTAGTGATATTCTGGGGCTGGTCAGAGTGTAATGAAGCACCTAGATTTACAGGTCAGCGGGCCTTTAGTTGGGATGGAATGATGGAATGTTGAGTTTACCAAACTGCTTTAACAGGTTGACCATATTTTCTGTGTGTGACTTCTGAGCGTCCTTCCACGCATCTTCTAGGTCCTCGTTGCTGTCATCGGTGGCCAGTTTCCTCAAGCAGCTGAACAAGCGCAGTGAGGAATATAGAGCAGGGAGAAATTCATCAGATATGTCGCCTTTATCCCAAAATTCATTTAGGAAGTCGAACAGTTCTGACCAGTGGGATCCGTATATATCCTTTACCAGGGGTAACACAACCGCCAATACTTTCAATATTTCCGCTATTATTCCCGGGCCAAATTTCTTAGATTGTAAACACACAATTAAGTGTTTCACTAAGAATACTAATCTTTGTGTAGGGATGTTTGTAGCTGGGTTTTTCTCCCCATGAAGCAGAGAATTGGCCGTTACCAATTGTCGGAGTGCTGTATGTGATTAGTGATAGAAAAGTAACGGGTGGCTTGGGTATAAAACTAACCATCAGCATCATCAGTAAGTTTAAGGCCCGTCAGGTCCGCAACTAACTGGTTACAAAGCCTTCCAGCTATTTGCGTACTGATAATCGAATCCCTGTATCCAACCACAGTTGCAATCAGAACAAAGGGATTAGAATGCTTAGGCACTCTTATTGCCGCTTGTAGTTTGCTTTCGGCTGGCGGCGTAGGCGCAATAGCGTCTCTTTCAGATATGATTCGTGCGAAGTTTTCTGCAAAGCGGTACGCTCTGGGCCCATTACCTTCTATATTGCACAGGTTTCTTTCCCAAAATGATACAAAAGATCTCGCATCAGCCTCGCCAGGCGCATCTGTCGTGCATGACCTCTGGATCCAGCCATTCATGAGTACACGAGCTTCTGAAACAATTTCTGTAGCAATAACCTTGGCCTCGGGGGTATGAATATATAGTATTGTTGTAGATTCCTCGATGCTCAATTCATCGTCGATAAGTTGGATCGCCAAAGGAAGGTAAGTGAAAATGTTTTCCAGGAATGGTAATGGAATATCTCGCGTTTCAATGAAATGTAGTACTTTGGTAACATAGTACGTAATCCGGAAGGCTAATGTAAGATTGTCCCTGTCCCTTGGAAGAGTATGTAGGGTTTCCAAGTTGTGTGATGAATCCAGGATATATACAGCTCCACCTAAAGGACTCATTATTGAACATGACTGTTTTGGTGCAATCATAAGGAATTGCTCCAAAGAACCCTTCCATGAACTTTCTTGGGGTAATAAGCTGGGTAATAAGCTAGATATATCATTTGCAGCAGTTCTGTTAGAGGCTTCTCGCGCTATAGTTACCAGCGAATCAACCCTGTCGAAGGCATTAGTAAGCCAACTCAACAGTTCGGTATAGTGTACTCACGATAGTGATTCATTATCCACCGTTGTAAAATTCCTTTCCAAAACTTGAAGGGTTGGCTTCAGAGAGTTGTTTTCGCCCGTAACTTCGCCCTTTATTGACTCGGCAATGAGCACAACCTCTTCATCGGAAGATTCAGCAAGGTAGAGAAGTTTCGATATAAGCTTCGAGCCATTTGGACTTGCAACATATGATTGAATTGCCCCCGCGCTCTCCGATGATATTAGTAGAAGTCCACGAAGGACCTCAATTGCCGAATCATCCTTTGACAGTAACTCAATCAAAGAGTCAAAAATGGTATCTCGTATAGTAGGTTTCAGTTTCTCGTTATTGAGAGCCGCAGCGATATCTAGCCAGGATTGACGGCTTCCACGAGCACCCTGATCTAGAACACTCAAAACCAAACGCTTCAAAATTGGGTTAAATTCTTGGTCATGACCTGTTACCGAAGAAAATAACTTGCTCATAGAAGGCAACTGGGTGGCTGTTGATAGAGATTTCTTGTGGTATGTGTCAATTACTTTGGCAAGACCATCATCAAAACATTTCCTACCGCGACACGCAAATAAAATGGATACCAGTCGGTTTGCCGAGGGTGATATGATAAGCTGAGGGAGAACATCGGCAACAAATGAGTCCAGAACTTCCATCTGACATATAATTGATGGTATGTTGGTAAGTGCCTCATCAACAACTGCTGCTGCTCCATAGGGTTTCCCGTTTCTAGACTGAAGCATTTGAAGACATGTCTCTATCAATAAAAATGAGCTGTTCTTGATAGATTCCACAACCGAATTTTGCTCACCGCTGCCGGTAGTTTTTGCAAGAACACCACGGCAAAGGGTGAAAAAACGGCCTCCCTGAGAGCAAATGAAATCCTGGGAAGTTCGGTATTTCTGAGACTGTTCTGGTTCAGATATTAATATGTTATCCTTTAGTAAGGTTGATAACTTTGACCACAGAGCATGCGTAATGTCTTGGTCTGTGATGCGGTTTAGAGCACTAAATAACTCAACACAAACCTGAGGAGCATTAGGGTCATCGACTGTCCACATAGCCTGTTCTTGATTGGCTGCAATGAATTGCACAAGGATTGGGAACAGGTGATCCTGCAGAAGTTTGAGCCTTTTTTCGCCTTCATGGATTGTGCTAGACATCCAAAGGACTGTTTGGATGTAAGCGGTCCAGGCAGCTAATATGTTTGTCCTTGCCTCCTCCCTATTCCCAATTGACCCATGGAAGGCCTCTGCAATAGAAGATATGGACTTTATTGCAGTGTCATCTTGCCTTTCAATTTCCAAAACTTCTGCCGGGAGTGACTGCAAAATAAGCTTCAACTCCGACCAGTAAGATGGACCAGCACCTTCTGAACCAGCTTTAATATATCGCAATAGCTGCTTCTTGGCGGGAGCTTTTGAGGAATAGTCCGTAGTCCACACCTGAGGAGACTTTTTGGTCAAATCCAATAAAAGCCCTGAAAATGTTGACGAAGAGCCACGCTGCGTGATTCCCAAAGATTTTGATAGCACCCAAGTGCTTATTATTTTCCAATCGATATAATCGATATCCTTAGAGAGGCAGGTCTGGAGTAGCTCATATAAGGATCGGCGGACAAAAGCATCTTCATGGTAAGAAAACTTCCATAAATCTCTGCTCCCGAGGAGCTTCTTCACAGAATCCGAGTTCTTGTTAAGTTTTTCAGTCGAGGCAGTGGCTGCTTTAAATTAGTATCTTAAATTGAAGGGGGAAATGGGACAGAGGTTATCTAATACCTAATAGCCTGCTAAACTCCTGCAGTGCCGTGGCTACTACTCGCGCATATTTTGCTTCTGCATCATCAGGCCGCACAGTCCGTTCATCGCTTAAAGTAAGTGGTGTTTGCTGGAGGGCGGCATCCACGATGAATTCAAGTATTGAGGACTGGTACACTGTCCATATCCCCTGTTGCTTCTCCTCCGTGGGAAACGCTCGATTGAACGATTCCTGCGCAGATTTCCTAACCAGCTTATCGTTCTCATATAAGCCAGCCAGCCATGCGCCTATTGTACCACTAATATATCGTGCAATGCGTTTTCCAGCCGTAGAAACGATGTCTCCCTGGAGGTTATGAGCGAGTTGACGGACTCTGCGAGATGAATCTATTGAGGTACGTGGATAAACCTTGGACTAAATAATTCACGTAAATCCTACTATTCCTTGAAATCCGGCGACTAAAGGGAAAACGTACCCATGCTTCTAGTAATCCGTCGTCGAGAAGGACATTGCCTGACACAGAACTAAATATATGATTCTGTAGTTCTTCCAATGCCCTGGATTTTGTAGTACTGTCCTTCTTTAGAAGGTTCTTAAATGTAACTACTATCTGAGGGTCAGATAATTGTGATAGGTTGGGCGGCTCATAGACGTAAGATAATGAAGAAGCCGGCGTCTCCTGATCAGCCCCAGCAGTAGAAAAACCACCAAATGAGCTAGTTGGACCACTCCCAAACGCGCCGACCGCTGCGCGGCTGCTCGAAGCCTGCGACCTGAATTTCTTTCCGCTCATGTCTTGCGGGGCAAACAAAAAGTAATGTAAAAAAGTGCAGAAAGGAAAATGTTAAAGAGACGAGATCGAGTTCAGCCAAATCCAGTCATCGTCCACTTTTTTATGCGCCACTATCGCATTGAAACCTGAATCCCTTTTTGTCCGGCGTTGAGGAAGCTGTTCAAATAGCGCCTTCGTTGTCCAAAAAGAGCTCTCCGACGAACTACATTTATCAGTGGGGAAATATTGAGATCATCACGTGACATAATGACTAAGATGCGGCTCTGCGGAGCTTCTTTTGAAGTTCGAAATATTGAATTGAGGTTGATAGAGACGACGTTGAGCAGGTATTATCAGCTGCCCATCTGCTGGGATCTCTGCGGTTCTGCGCGGTGACCCAAGATGGAGTTTTATATAGAGTAAGATTTGCATATTTTATTAGCGTTTGGACTTTGAGAGGCTTACTCTTTTTGCTAACTTGCTAATGGCTTTGATGAAGTGATCTCCCGATTCTCTTCCCTTACCCTCGAATTTACCCCGAGCAATATGCATATATGTGCGATCTCAAGAAGGTCCTTGATGCAGGTGGACACTGCGTCCTGGAGATGCCCTCGGGGACCGGGAAGACCATTACTCTGCTCGCTTTGATTGTCGCATACCAACAGCATTACCCGGAGCATAGAAAGCTGATCTATTGTTCTCGAACCATGTCTGAGATCGAGAAAGCTCTGAGCGAGTTGCACGCATTGATGAAATATCGCTCTCAGAAACTTGGAGCTGTTGAAGACTTCCGAGCTTTGGGGCTGACTAGCAGAAAGAATCTGTGTCTACATCCATCTGTGAAACGTGAAAAAAGCGGGACTGTAGTTGATGCTCGATGTCGAAGCCTTACTGCGGGGTTTGTTAAGGAGAAGAAGGAGAAGGGGGAGGACGTTGAGCTTTGCATATACCATGAGGTCTGCTCCAGCAGTCCACTCACAGTGGCTAAACTGACTTCTTGCAGAACTTAGATCTTTTGGAGCCCGGTAACCTGGTCCCACCAGGGGTGTTCACACTTGACGGGCTTATTAAATATGGAGAGCAGTATAAGCAATGCCCCTACTTTTCTGCCCGACGAATGGTAAGCTGAATGGCAACCGCTTAAGCTTTAAACCCCGTGGTACTAAAGGCGCTTTAATAGATGCAATATTGCAACGTCATAATTTATTCGTATCACTACCTTCTTGACCCAAAAATAGCTGAGAGAGTGTCCAAAGAGCTATCAAGGGACAGCATTATAGTGTTTGATGAAGCCCATAATATTGATAATGTTTGTATCGAATCCCTCAGCATCGATCTTACTGAAGACTCACTACGAAAGGCGAGTCGTGGTGCAAACAACCTTGAACGTAAAATAGACGAAATGAAAAGCACCGATGCAGAAAAACTGCAAAACGAATACCAAAAGCTTGTGGAAGGCTTGCAGGAAGCAGACGAAGCACGGGAAGAGGAGCAATTGATGGCAAACCCTGTCCTTCCAGATGATCTTCTCAAAGAGTCTGTACCTGGGAATATACGTCGAGCAGAACACTTTGTAGCCTTTTTGAAACGCTTCATTGAATATCTGAAAACCCGGATGAAGGTTACCCATACTATCTCAGAAACACCATTATCATTCCTCTCACATCTCAAAGACCTGACGTTTATAGAACGAAAGCCTTTGCGATTTTGCGCAGAAAGACTTACGTCCCTGGTCCGTACCCTGGAGCTCGTGAATATCGAAGACTACCAGCCACTCCAAGAAGTTGCTACGTTTGCTACACTTGCTGCAACATATGAGAAAGGCTTCCTACTCATCCTTGAACCCTTTGAGTCTGATACAGCAACAGTTCCTAATCCTATTCTACATTTCACCTGCCTGGATGCCGCGATCGCCATAAAGCCTGTATTTGACAGGTTTAGCTCCGTTATTATAACGTCTGGAACCCTTTCTCCGCTGGAGATGTATCCAAAGATGCTTGGATTCGATGCCGCTCTTCAAGAATCATACAGTATGACTCTTGCCCGCCGCTCCTTTTTACCAATGATTGTCACACGAGGCTCCGACCAGGCACAAATATCATCGTCGTTTCAAATACGCAATGATCCGGGAGTTGTCCGAAATTATGGCAACATGCTCCTTGAATTTTGTCGTATAACTCCGGATGGGGTTGTGGTATTTTTCCCATCCTACCTTTATATGGAATCTATAATCAGCATGTGGCAGGGTATGGGTATTCTAGACTCCGTATGGAATTATAAATTGATACTCGTTGAAACACCTGATTCCCAAGAATCATCTCTTGCTCTTGAAACCTACCGCACTGCATGTTGCAACGGTCGCGGCGCAGTTCTACTGTGTGTTGCTCGAGGGAAGGTCTCTGAAGGAATCGATTTTGACCACCATTACGGGCGTGCTGTCCTTTGTATTGGTGTTCCGTTCCAGTATACCGAGTCACGAATCTTGAAGGCTCGGCTTGAGTTCTTGCGTGAAAACTACCGTATACGCGAGAATGATTTTCTTTCTTTCGATGCTCTTCGACATGCTGCTCAATGCCTGGGGCGTGTCCTTCGCGGTAAAGATGACTATGGGGTAATGGTGCTTGCTGACCGTAGATTTCAGAAAAAAAGGAACCAGTTACCTAAATGGATAAGTCAGGCCATGCTTGAAAGTGAAACAAATCTAAGTACCGATATGGCGGTTGCAACTGCAAAAATTTTCTTGAAATCAATGGCACAGCCATTCAAAGCGAAAGATCAGGAAGGTATTTCAACATGGAGCCTGGAAGATTTAAAACGACATTTGGAAAAGAAAAAACAAGAAGTGGAAAAAGAACAGGGCAATCAAATGGTGTGGACTGCAACCAACGGGGCGGCAGCACCTGATGCCCACGCTATGGGCGATGATGAAGATTTCAACGAAGACCTCCTGGCAGAACTTGAGGCATAAAAATTCTTAAAATATACTACGGCAGGATTGGGGCGTTTGAGTGGGATACATTTAGCAAAGAAAATATCTTCTAAGGATGTAGGATACTAGCGTTAGGCATAGGACACTGTTTTTGTTCAAATATAATTGATATGTTCCATCTACTGGACACTTTACACCTAGAGCTGAAATCTCTCAATGAATCTTATGTTTAGCATTTAGCATAGCTGTAGAAAAAAACTCCAATATATGTAGCGGATGAACAAACGCCTTACTATCCCACACTTTTTTTTTTCTGATATCTATCCAACAGGAGCAAGTACATCGAAAGCGCCAGTTCCAACAGTTCCAACCCTGCCCACAACAATTCTGCTGCTTGGGCCATTGAGGTTGTCCCAATCTCTCTCTAGAACCGCATCCCGAAGGAAGCGAACTGTTGTTTCGAAACTCATCTTCATCAGTGGAGAAGTGCTATCTTTAACAATTCCCATACGATTGAATGGGCGATATCCACCAGTTTGAGTCATGACATCAGCAATTAGGGTTAAATGTCGATTATCAACTTTGATGCCGTGGCCATCGAAAACGGCACCAACTTCATTGACAATAGTTGCTCTTGCTGCCTCAACTCCGTATAGTCCAAGCATATGGGAGACGGAATTTGAGTAAATAGAGTGCGGGTCAATTATATCTTGGTAATCGCGCATTGCAATCAAATTTACACCTTCTGTTAACACATGTTCGGGTTCATCCCGGTCAGCCGGTACGTATACACAACTTCCGAGCCCAGGAATGAACTGTATCACCGATATTCGGGCTGCATTTTCGACCAAGGGAAGAAGCAAAAGCTTCGGCGTAGAGATATCATATTGAAGCTGGATGGTGCAGGAGTTTCCCTTTTCTGAGTCGAATTTGAATTGGGTAAGGGCAGGATATTTGCCTTTGAGAGCATCCACGCGGTCTCTATCGTTGGCCGCTTTCTTAGCTTTAGAATGACCGGAATCATCCATATCTGTGTCAGTATCACTATTGTCCGCTGTTGTGGACTTTGGCTTATTTTCTGTATCCTCATCGCCAGAATCAAGCTCGGGCGTGTCTTGTCTTCGAATGATTTCTTGCTCCCCTTCATCAGGGGCTTCATAAGAGGCTTGGCCTGAATTATTACGTGAGGAGCTGGCCCGTTTGGCATCGTCCATATCTTCATCGTCGTCTTGGTCATTGTCTCCTCCCTCCCGTCTAGCTTCCTCTACGACACCAACAGAGGCCCCGATTTCGGGTTGAGCAGCAGAAGGGCTGGATAGCGATTTTTCAGCTGTGCGCTTCTTTAGTTCTAGTTCAGTGAGCTTAACGAGACGGGGAACAAATTTCTCCTCGAGCGTTCGGAGAACATCATTTATTTGAATGGCGTACTCAGCGCAATACGCTTCTGACGGGAAGAAATCGATCTGGATATCATAGACCTTGGCCTTCGCATTCCCTTTAGATGAGACGCGTTCTCGAACTTTCAGTTTATCAACAACTTCCGCAAGGGTCAGCTTGGTAATAGCTTTAGCGAACAGCTCCGCAGTCTTTCTATCCGTCTCCTTGTTTAGTTTCAATGTCATGGTCGGTGTCATGATATGGTTGCTTGCCGTCATTACGATCTCCCTAAGTCTAGGAATACCTAGGGTAACATTTTTGGCTGCGTGGCCAGCTAAATGGAAAGTGTTTAGAGTCATCTGGGTTGATGGCTCACCAACAGACTGGCCAGCAACAATACCTATAGCCTCACCGGGATCAATGACTGATTTCATGTATTTTATGTTCATCATCGTGGTGAAAGCTTTTTTGGAAATTTCACCTTCGGCTTTGCTTTTCTCCTTGAGTAAATTGTCGGGGTTGGTTTTCATATACTAAATCTTATGTTAGTCTCCATACGGATAAGTATATATATAGCATTTGCCGTACCTTTTTGAGGGCAGAAGCAAACTTCTCAGAGGTACTACCATAGTTAGCGCCAGGTGGAAATAGAGCCAATGCAGGATCTTTAGCATCGATTTTCCCTGTCTTTTTGATCTTCTTCATGGCGGCCTTGTTCCAATTGCTTGCTTCTTCGCTATGAATCTTACTGGAATCCTTGACCCCGTTGACCTGGGACACTATCGACATGTAGTTTTGTGCCAAAAAGGTGAAGCTGTCCAAATGTTTTTGTTTCGTGATGTCGAGTCCATCCTCTCCATACAAAAACTGTACCACGGATCCATCAGAGGTGTCACGTACAGAGGTATCGTACTCTGCCTTCAATCCCTCCATTCCCTTGATTAAACAACGCTGTAGGTAACCAGATCGTGAGGTTTTGACCGCAGTATCGATAAGACCTTCTCTACCAGCCATAGCGTGGAAATAATATTCATGTGGTTTAATTCCCGTAAGGAAACGACCGAACACATATCCACCGGCTCCGATTTTGGTTTCATATGGTTGAAAAGATGGAAGCGTTTTACCACTGATCATGACAGGAACTCGGCGACCTTCCAAAACCTGCTGGCCAAGATTGCAAGAAATCAAATTGGCGTTAACCATAGAACCTTTAGCACCTGAGACAGTCATAGTCTGCATGTTATTGAAGGGGAATGGCTTCTCCAGGCCACTAGGCAGGCAGGCTTTAGTTATTTCTGAAGAGAGTTCACCCGTACGCGATTTGTACATTCCATCAAGACCGGCATGCTTGTCATCATCACGCAGCACCTCCTCCAAGCGCCGCTTGAGCTCAGCATCCTCATCTTCGACTTTATTTTCATCCAAAGTAACGTACTTTAGAGCAATTTCATTACCTAGGTTGTCCGCTTGTTGGATTAATTTCTTGCGCTTAGCATTGCCTTCTTCTGTAAGACGAAGATCATCCATCCCACAGGTGAATGCTCGCATATGGAGGACTTTGGTCAATAGACGGCCCAGAATTCCGATTAATTTGCCAGCAACGATATGGCCATATACTTCATGGATGGAGTGAATGAGGCCACCTACAGTTGGACCGAGTTGATTTTTGTCGAGAATTCCAGATATCAATTCTCCATCTCTGACAGTGACATCACCCTCTGCATTATCACCCCAGCGGTTTCCTGGGGTAGACGACTTGCTGTCTAGATTAAGGCCAGCCCGATTATCTGGTGTGATATTCTTCAAAACGGTGCTTATTATTTGCTTTCCCGTCCAAAGAGGCCGTGGTTTGAAGATAGCAGGTGGTATAAGCCAAATTTTATCTGATACGGTATGCGAATTTTCCGGCCGTAAACAACTGTAAAGTAGCTGATGGTAGTCATCCTCGTCAAAGAAGCTGTCTCTGCAAGTGAGCCATACGCCCATAGATAAATGGTCCTGAATTAAACCGCGAAGTGGCTTTCCAGACGTGGCAACAAGGTACTGATGGTCGGTATCTGCAAGTTGCATGGCTTCGGCACGGGCGATTTCGTTTTGTGGGAAATGCATGTTCATTTCATCACCATCGAAATCAGCATTGTAGGTATTACAGTTGGCGTAATGCATGCGGATCGTTCTCTCACCCGTTAGGACCCGCGCACGATGGCCCATTATGGATGGTTTATGGAGAGTGGGCTGTCGATTCATGAGAACAACATCTCCTGTCGTAAGATGCCGATAGACTCGCTTGTTGCGCGAGCGCTTGAGTTTCCAATTTGATGGTGAGAGAAGCAAGTTGGCAATGGCAACTCTTTCGTCAACAGACTTATATTTTAAACTGATTACCTGACCAAGTTCATTTTCAACAGCGGCTGCACCGGGGTATATATCTGGTCCATTGATCACAGCTTGTTTCAGTTCCCAGTAATTATGGTTCGTTACTGGTTCAGGGTACGTCAATTTTTTCGCAAAGACAAGAGGTATACCAATTTCGTTTGTTTCGATATTTGGATCCGGAGAGATAACACTTCTGGCAGCAAAATTGACTCGCTTTCCCATCATATTTTTTCGGAAGAGACCATCTTTCTTTTCTAACCGCTGCTTTATACCATCCTCATTCTGTGCACCTAGCCCTTGCGAGGGATTTCTATCTCGGTCGATAAGACTGTTTACAGCATCTTGAAGCTGGACAATCGACTGAAGCAGGTCACGATAATCGCGAATTCTCCGCGATGTCCCGGTCGTATCACCCTGTCTCTCTCTGCTGATTTGATTGATTTGGTCACATAGTTTGATAATCCTGCCGAAAGAAGTGTTTTGTTGGGCCTCCATTATTTCATTCGGACCTTGTTGCGCTGCTGGGCGAAATTTGTTCGGGGGAACGAGGATGTTCTTAATAAAGAACATATTTGCACTGATGTGGGACCGTTTTTTGACAAAAGGGCGAGAATCATATATCAAGTCAAGAATCTCTTGTTCCTTGTTGAAAAGGAAGTGAAGAGACGCATGAATCTCCGAAGAAGGTACATACTGCTGAGGTTCGGCATGTTCTGTTTGGGATACTGCGGCCTCTTCGACATCCATTAACATAGCATTACCCAAGGATATTTGTTGCTCTGCACTGTGCAAGTCGTCATTGCCAAGCGGCTCTGTTGGTTTCATGGGTTTTTTTCCATCCTTTTGTCTTTTAGCTAGTTGATTGGCCTCCTCCATCAGAACAAGAGGGTTGGGTATCTGAAACCCTGCTTCCATCATGGCCATTCTGGCCTTCTGGGGAAGGGATTTTCGGAAGATCTTGGAGTACTTATCTCGGCGATAAGACGGGGAAATCCTGGTTCAAATAAGTCAACGCGGTCCTGTTAGCTATTGTTAGAGCAACCAGTGGGAGTACTAACCCTGAGCATGACGTGCACTTTTTGACAGCAGAGGCATCCTTTAAGAAATCCCGCACTAAATTCCGTCGCATCTCCGCTGCTGTGGGATCTTTGACAATTTCAAGGTGGTTCCTGTTCCTTTTCCCGGCCGGTAGGTTGGCAATGCAACGCTTGACGTAGGCATTCCTTCGCTGCATCAAGTCGACATCGTCCTCATCGTCGCTATCGTCATCACTGGAGTCGTCCCTACCGCGTGCACCTTTTCGTAGTTCCATATTCCCCACGGTATGCGCTTCTTCAATTAGTCCATATTGGAGGAGTCGCAATTTGCAAGCATAGTTATTGATTTGAGCGCGGGCCATTCTAAACCGATGACAGTATATACACTGAGATCTGAGTAGCCGATACAGCTGATCAAAGAATGTAACATTGTAGACATGAACGGGCAACTCTATGTGGCCAGCATGACCGGCGCAAGACCAGGAGTTTTGGCGGCATGTAGAACATCTAAGCGGGCAAATTTGTCAGTCTACCCCAGTTTTCCAATATCCCAATACAGAGACACAAGGTACAACATACATATGATCGCCCCATGCGCCCAGAGCAGCATCATATAGACCACCTGGGACCGGATTATTGAACGAGTCCAAGCTGGGTGTGTTGTAGATTCGCTTGACCGAAACCGCTTTTATCTCCTCGTCGGACATGACCCCAAAGTCAATTCCGCCGATGGACGACGAGACGGGAATTGCGAAACTTGACATGGCTGCAAGCTCCTCCTGTACTGCCGCCTGCGTGGAAGAGAGAGCTGCGCAGTCAAGCGTCTGCGGTGGTTGTTGATTGCTTCATACCTTTTTTTTTTTTTTTTGCTTGAAGCTCAAATAAACTTTTCTGCCGCACCTTAGTAGATTATGTAAGCATAAGACTTGTACTTAGGCTCATATATAACCTACTTATACAAGGCAGTCTACAAGATACAATGGCAGAGAACGGAGTGACTAGTATAAGCACTCTACATCCATATCTACTTCTAGTATATCCGTTAGGGCTTCTTCAGCTTCATATCTTTCCCCAGGTTTAACCAAAAGTTTACAAGCTTCAAGTCAATGATTATGTAATACCGTGCTTATATAATCTTCAGCATTCACGACTTGCAACGCGCTTTTTGTCGACAAATTTATCTTGGAGCTTCAAGACAAAACCGCATATCAGCATTCACAGCCATGGCGAGCTCATATAACGCCGGGTCTCTCAAACGGCCGCACCAGCTCGAAGATGAGGAATCCTCCCAGAAGAGATCGCGCTCCAACGATGGATCTCCAGTGCCGTCCCCTGCTCCCCCCAAGGTCGATATGGCGAAGGCGATTGCGGAAGCAAAAGCAAAGGCAGAGGCTGTTCGCGCAAGACTGAATGCTCAAGGCGGAGGGGGAATGGCTACACGGCCATTACCAGGCTCCTCAGCTTCTCAATCAACCGGGACCTCGCCGGCTCTCTCCAGGCTCGAGCAAATGAAAGCAAGAGTCGCAGCGGCTACTGGGAAGATTAATGCCTCCGCTGCCAAAGCACCCCAGCAGTCTCCGAGCTTTGCTCCTCCTCCTCCTCCTCCAGCCAACGATGACAGCATGATGAGGGCAAGAGGTGGCTTGGATGTGGGCTTACATCCCGCGCTCCTAGGGGACAGCGGACAAGACAGTCGAGCTACAAAAGGGAAGCAAGCTATGCAGCCTAAATTTGCGACTACCATGGCGAACTTTCGATCAGAGTCCTCTACACCGTCCAGTCGGGGGAAAACACCGCTTGATTTATCCGGCCCATCCATAGAAGAAACTAGGAGTAACCCTTATTTCGACCCTAGCTTCGGCTCCAAGTCTGTAGCAGCACGACCCCGTCATACACGCCAGCTGATTTTCAACCAAAAGGGAAAATATATCCAGCAAGCTGCTGCTTTGAGGAGGCAGGCTCAGTTAGAAGCCATGAAAAAACGAATAGCAGAGCGAGCACGGCAGGCTGGCATAGATGAAGATCTTGATGTTGAAAAATCGTACCTTGTATCTGCGCCTCCAGCTATTGAATGGTGGGACGAGGGACTGGTAAATGGAACAGATTACGCAGCAATTGAGGACCCCAAAAACTTGAAGGTTGATACCCCAGATTCAGTTATAACAATATATATTCAACATCCTGTTCTCCTCGAACCTCCGCAGGACAAGAATATACCTGCGCCAAAACCCATGTATCTCACCCCAAAAGAGCAAGCAAAGATCCGTCGACAACGGCGTATGGCAGACCTCAAGGAGCAGCAGGCAAAGATTCGTCTTGGATTAGAGCCTGTCCCTGCCCCCAAGGTCAAAAAGTCGAACCTCATGCGGGTACTTGGTGAAGATGCGGTCAAGGATCCTACTGCTGTCGAAGCCAGGGTCAACCGTGAAATCGCTGAGCGCGCGCAAAAACACCAGGATGCCAACGAGGCCCGCAAACTCACTAAAGAACAACGTCACGAGAAATTGGCGTCAAAGCAGGAACTAGACGCTGCTAAGGGTGTATGCGTATCAGTTTACCGTATCGACAGTCTGGCCAATGGCCGCCACCGATTCAAAATAAATAAGAATGCAGAGCAGCATGCTCTCACCGGTATTTGCATCATGCATCCCAAGATCAACATTGTGATCGTGGAGGGAGGTGCTCACTCCATCAACGCGTATAAAAAACTCATGTTAAACCGCATTGACTGGACTGAAAATTCGGGTGTCAATGCGGTGAGAGAAGGCAACCGCGAGGCATTGACATCTTGGTTGGCCGCAGAGAATGAGAAAGGAGAGCTCAAAGACCTAAGCCTTAATACTTGTACGCTAGTTTGGGAGGGAGAGGAGAAGAATAGAGCATTTAGAAAATGGGTTGGGGCCCGAGTGTGCGAGACCGATGGCGCTGCAAAGGACCAGCTAGCAAGGGCGAAGATGGAGAATTTCTGGGCTCTGGCAAAGAGTATAAAACCTGGAGCATCATAGTTTTGTCCATACAGGGTTTACTATGGCTGGTATTGCATATACTCTCAGCATATCCCAGATTTGATAGATGAACGAACTATATAAGTGGCACTATTTACTACCATCCTTGAGGTAAACATTTTACAGCCAGCTGGAATTAAAGGAGCAGAATTTTCTTAATTGCTGAGAATAGGTATTCGCCAAATATATAAAATGCAACATGGCAGGCCAATCAATAACCAGTACTCCAAAAGACAGGCAGCCTCACCTAAGAACAGGTTACCACCGTTCGGCACATGCACCAAGAAACAAGGAAAAAAGAAAAAGGTAAGGGTAAGCATAAAAGTAAACGGAAATAAAAATAAAAATAAAAAAGAAAATTGAACAGAAAATTTCAAAAAAGATGGAAGCGATTGGCAAAAATAACAAAGACACATAGAACTCCCGTTGCCTCTGGGTTTGAGACCAGGCAGAAGGCCGAGTGTAATCGGCTCATGTCGTTTTGTGTCAGTGATTGCCCCATATCTCGAGGGGAGCGCCAAAAACACCGTATACTTATAGGATATATAAGGGCAGATCGCTTTTCGGGTCGATTTTTAAAGGAGTGTATATTCAACGCTCGGTGTGCCAGAACTGCGAATTAAGTAGCATAAAACCCGTAGCTAGGCATATATGGATCAAGAAAATGTTCATCAAGGTTAAAACCATATGCGCCCACCATATCAGAAATTAACATGTTCGACGGTGTGAAGCTGGCACTACTATCCGTCCCACTGTCGATAATAGTATTGCTCATACTGCTGGTATCCGGAGACGTATTTGCAGCAGAGCGGTTCCACGCTTTGAACCGTTCAAGCATTTTGCCGAGCCCTCTTGAAATGTGGCGAGTCAAGTGCTTTTCCCCTGCACTCGCGCGTGTGATTAGATCAATAATTCTCTCTACCAAGTGCTGTACCCGGCCAGCATCAACGTTCAGGTACCCTGTGTTCCATATAACAGCAACTTTAAGCAAGAAGACAGCGGAGAAGGTAATCATCGTGTGGGTAAAAATGGGAACGCCTACGACAGCATCACGCAAGTCGACCTCTTCTAGCACCAGGTTGAGGGTAGCTATGGCCGAAGCAATGGCTACGTTAGCAGCTTCTTTACGTTCCGGCGAAAACTGCATGTTCGGTGAAATGGCACGAAGTGCTAGAGAATTAAGCTGGAACCTAGCGAAATGGTAATGTAGCACTACGCCCTTTGACGGATACGTTCGGACATAAGGATTATCAACTATGAAGAGAGTTATAGTTAGCACCGATACATAACGGGAGAATGCCAGCTATGTGGGATCTCACGAGATCGAGGTTGCCACAGGATCCTCCACTGCTCGATTGCTCTATTAAACGACCGTAACTGCCCAAAATCAGACTCGGTCAATGCTTGTTCAGTATCCGATCCGTAAATCCGGTATGCCTCCGTTAAAATGACAAACAATGCTACCTGAGCAATGAGTCGAACATCTCCCGGAACGGCAGACGGAGATTGTAGGAAAGTCTCATAATTCTTAATTGCAGCATCTTCGTGTATTGAGGGCGGCCTTCCATATGCGATACTAAAGTGATGTTCGCAGACATAGATCAAGTACCAGAGTTTTGCACGCTCGAACTGATCAGTCTGGCCCCTTGTCATTTTCAAGAAGCTATGGTGCAAGTTAATCTCAGTTGCTATCCGGACTGCTTGTCCGGAAAGCTTCCAACTAAGATCCGGTAGCCAGAATGCACCAATGCATCTTGCTCGAATGTCATCTAGCGTATGATACCGAGATAAAGTGGCCGCACCAATCAGCGAGACGAACTCGTTGTAACACTTGTTAAGGGTATCTGTTCTATTAGGAATATGGAGGGCAGATACTGTTAAAATTGCTGCAGCCAGGAGCGATGACGATCTCCTAACGGAAAGTAGATCCGGATGCACCAAAATTATCCCTCCCCAAAGGAGCTGGTTCAAGGTGCGGCGGAAATATGCAAAAAGCTCCTCGGCCTCATGGAGCGAAATGCAGCCTCTAGAAATAAAATCTTCTTCCATCAATGTTGACTTTGGTTTCCCAACTTGGTTGCTTCTCAGATTTCGGAGCTTTGTGACTTCATATAAGGTGCCCATAGGGGCAGGTACAAGGTCAGGCTCTTCTGGCATTGGTTCCTGAGAATTTTCTCTAGTCATGTCCAGTGACTTCGCAGCGTTCATATCATTAACTCGGATTTCGTTAGGTGCGTGATTTGAGGTAGAACCTAGTTCGGAGGGCGCTCCAGGGGAGTGCGCCAGGTCGAAAGCTGACAGTGTAGGAAACTTGTTCTCGCGGAGAAGATACGATACAGCAGCCTCAAGGCGCTGCATTCTATTAGAGGCCTGGGCCTTCCAGCTACAAAGGAGGATGTCAGTCGAGCTCTTCACAGAGAGATATCTAATTAAATGAAAGGTGTCAGCCTCAACCTACTTAACATCATCATCAACAAATCTCTGCGAGAAGTCATTGGCTACACATTTGGCACCACTTTTGAGGCATTTGGTGCAGCTGGTTTCCCCAGGCTTCACCTCGCACTTGATCTTGTGGCGCTTGCATTCCGCACCTGCAGGAAGTAGTTATTTTAGTATCGACGTCAGGACGAAAAAAAAAAAAAAAAAAAGAAACAATAATGTAGCTTCGCGTGAAAGGAAAACTAACATGCGCGAGCTTTCGATATCTTAGGCGCAACGATCGAATGAGTCGATTCTTCCCCGTTGATCCTTGGAGGGCTAATCGCCTCGTGGGACCGCTTCATCCCTGTCGATTGTGGAAAAGTCGAGAATGATGGCGACACCAAGGTGTGCGTCGCATGAAATCCATGTAATCGCGGGGACAAGTCAGGCTGGAGACGGTGTATGGTGTCCTTTCAGGCACATCGGGAGCTGGTTTGATATCCTGAGGGAACTCTACCCTTTGCGCCAGGGAGAATAATTATGAGCAAGGAGGCAAACTCGGACCCCACAGTTCTTGCAGCTTGGTAGTTTTTCCGCCCCGGTATTCGTCTTTTTTTGCATTCTTCGGCTGTCATTAGGAGGAAGCTGGCTGGAGTATCGAATTGATGGTTTGGCGCTTCTCTGACTGGTCTAGGATGAGCTTTTTCTCTGTCTTCTTTGAAGCGTTTTCGAGCGACTGTCGTCTGTTATGCCGAAACGGGATGTTGGTCATGTGACACCGCGTTCTGTTCGCGTTTTTTGAAAGTTGAAAAAGAAGGAAAAACATTTTGATAAGGAAGAGAACAACATCTGGCAAACACCAAGAACGAGGAAGCAGTGTCGATAGGATGGCAGAGGATAGTTGTGCAAATCCACTGCTGCTGGGCTGGATCAAGAAGTGGCACGATGATGCAGTGGAGAGGAACTTGAAGGGAGCAAGCGTCACGTAGGTTGACGCTATGGATACACCCTCCCTAAGAATGCCTGGAGAAGATGCATCCGATGCTGATATATCTTTCTGTTACAGGTACAAAAGGGCCTATAACTCCCTAAAGGCGTGTCCTTTGGAGTTTAGCCATCCTTCAGAAGCGCAACAGCTTACTGGGCTTGGGCCGAGAATGTGTGATCGTTTGACTGAGAAGCTCAAGGAATACTGTCAAGAGCATGGCCTTCCTATGCCAGAACCACCGCAGAAGGGTAGGTTATATTGCATTGATACTCTACAGGCAGCTAACTTAAGGGGCAGCAGTCAAGAAACGGCCGTCTACCGATGAGCTACCCCAAACCGAGAGCCAGCCTACTAAACGACCAAAGAAAACGAAACCCTACGTTCCAACGTTGCGTTCAGGGCCCTATGCACTTCTGCTAGGGCTTGCTACGCTAGACAAGAACTCGTCAGTAGGCTTGACCAAAGCTCAGCTCATAGAAGTTGCGCAGCCCCACGCAGATGCCTCCTTCACAGCGCCTCCTGATCCAAACAAGTTTCACACCGCGTGGAATTCGATGAAAACCCTCCTTCAGAAAGATCTTGTCTACGAGCGTGGCAGACCACTGAAGAGATACCTTCTCACAGACGAAGGATGGGAAATTGCGAAACAGATACAAAAGACGGTGCGGGGCAATTCACAGGCACCCTCGGATCCGCGGGGCACCATTGTCAGTAATCGTTCCATAACCACCAAATGAAGTAACAAAGTTAACATCCCCAGGATAAATTTATGGACTCTAGAAACGCACAACCGTCACTGACCCGGCCGTCGAATATTCAGACACCTGAATCGCGCCTATCGCATGTGGAAAAATCAACTTTTTCGACAAATGAATCAGTTTCAAACCGTATCCCGCGCGCCTTACGAACAAATGCCAGTGGTTCAAGATTTATCCTCCCACGAGACAGCTTCACAATTGAGCTAGTCCTTGATACTCGGGAAGTTCGTTCTTGGCAGGATCGAGATTACATCTCAAATGGACTGGCCAAACGAGGAGTCACGCCGATGATCCGTGCTCTAGAGATTGGAGATATCAATTGGGTTGCAAAATGCAAGGACCCTAACTTCCTTGCACAATATGGTGAACAAGGAGATGAGGTGGTCCTAGACTGGATCGTCGAAAGAAAGCGGCTCTCCGATCTACTTTCCAGTATAAAAGACGGTCGCTTCCACGAACAAAAATTCCGCCTTCGTCGCTCGGGAATTAAAAATGTAATATACCTAGTGGAACTTATGACTCTTACGAATGCAAATATTGCAAGCATAAATCGCGATATGGCCGCAATCACATCGGCAATAGCCTCGACGCAGGTCGTCAATGGTTATTTCGTCAAGCAAACAAACAGCCTTGATGAGTCGATTCGATACCTTGCCAGAATGACCAAGTTGCTCCGCGAAATGTATATAGGCTCAGACTACAGTACCCCAGTCAAGCCTATAGAAGTCACGCCAACCTCGTGCATTGAATCACAGAATACATACCTTCTGCAGCTGGAGCAGCTCCGCGCTGAGGAACAGCAAAGGCTCAAGGCGTCATCCACCCCAGGTGCTTTAGAAACCACCTATACCCTAACTTACAACACGTTCTCAGCTCTGTCATCTAAGTCAGACATGCTTACATTGCGCGATATCTTCCTGAAGATGCTCATGTGCACTCGTGGCATAACGGGAGACAAAGCCTTGGAGATCCAAAGACGATGGCGTACGCCCCGGGAATTTGTAAAGGCGTTTGAACGAGTTGGTCCACGAGGACCGGATGGTAAACCCTCTCCTGCCCAGGATGACTTGGTCGCATCAGAGTTGAGCGGCCTAGTTGGGCGAAAGAAGATCGGGAAGACATTGAGCAAAAAGATCGCAGAGGTTTGGGCACCATGAACTTAACGACTATTATGACTGCATTTCATTTATTCCCCTTTTTTTAGGAACATATTCCCTTTTAGGTAGCATTTATCCGGCTTTGGTGTCTAGGAGTTCACTTATACCCATGGGTTTTATAATTCATAGAGAGAAGTTACACCACTGCATGATAAAATGAATTATTCACCTGGTTTACTATCTTCATCTATTTTATCCAGTTATCTTTTCAGCACGTTATTAGCTATCATGTCTGTAATAACACTCACCATCCCGAATCATATAGAAGTCACCAACCCCCTCTCTAAGCAACTATCGCAGCTTCAGCTTGTCCTAGACTGCAACCCTTTTTTCCAAGATTCTAGAAATAATTACATATTAAACTCAGCTAAGACGAAGCCATTGAGGGTAATTTTAATAATATTAGAAAACCTGCTGAATTCCCTGGGTGCCTGTAACTAAACCTGATTTCTTCTATCGATTTGCCTTCCTTAGCAATCTCCGAATCCCAGCCGTAAATTCCACCCTCAGAGCTAAGCTACTACAAACAACCGAGACGCTACTTAAAGCCATAGCGAGTGCGGCCCAAACAGGATCCAATCTCCAATGACGGTTCACAATCATCCCGTCACGTACTGTATGTCCGCTAACGATCGGATAGAAGACGCCAGCGGCAACCGGGATGAGAGACACATTATATATCGCAGCCCAGAGAAAATTCCACCTCACGCGATTGAAAACTCGACGACTTAGTTTGCAGAGATCAAGAATGGTGTTTAAATCGGAGTTGAGAAGAATGAATCCTGCAGTATTCACGGCAACATCAGATCCTGATGCCATGGCGATGCTGACGTCTGCAGCTGCAAGGGCAGGGGAATCGTTGGTACCGTCACCAACGAAAGTGACGATATTCCTCTTATTTTTGCTTTTTGAATTTGTGGATGAAGCCTGCGCTCTGATTCCTAGTTCATTGTTCTGTATCTTTTTGATATATTCTGCTTTCTGTGACGGAAGAACATTAGCCATGACATTTGACCTAGGAATTCCAAGCACAGAGGCTACAGCATGAGCCGTTATTTCATTGTCTCCAGTACACATATGCACATCAATATTTCTAGCTTGGAGCTGGGAGACCACTTGTGCGGCTTCATGACGAAGAGGATCCGACGTTGCAAAGATTATGGCGGGAACAAACTTTGCAGAATCATTCGCTTTGCGAATAGAAAGGATCGCAGATGATTTGCCGGCAGAGTGATACCGAGACAGTATGCTCGGCAAGAAATATATATCCGGGTCTTCTCTGCCCAAAAGTTCGACGAGACGCTGGTTGCCTATCGATGCTTCGTACTCAAGACCTTCGTCGCTACCATTAAGATGGACTGTGAACACTCCTTTCATACCATGACCCGGGATTTCTTCAACAGAAGCCTCTTTGATAGTGGCCGAGCTTCTCTCAGTACAGAACTCGACTATAGCACGGGCAATTGGATGGGTGCTGCTTTCTTCTAGTGCTTTTCCTAAGGCCCATGCGATCTCACGATCTCGCTCATCGGTAACTAAGACTTCATGGTCAGAAACCCGAAGGGCACCGCCTTCGGTAAGGGTGCCCGTCTTGTCAAAAACAATGGAGTCCAATCGGCTTGCTTCTTGGAACGCCTCTCCTCCGCCTCTCACAAGAATTCCACGCTTCGCAGCGAGTCCACCACCGACAAATAGGGCTGTGGGGGCAGCGAGTGCAAGTCCACAGGGGCATGCCACAACAAAGACGGCGATAGCAAACTGCAAGCTCCAGAAAGGCCAACCGCCTTGTTCTGAGTCCAGGTAATCGGGAGGAAGCACACCTGATTGCCCCAAACTAAGCCAGATAACGAACGTTAAGATGGCAATCAGAGTGATCGTAGGCACAAAGTATCCAGTTATAGCATCCGCAATGCGTTCAACTGGAGCTCTTTTTGCCTGTCCCTCTCGTACGACAGCAACGATTTGATCAAGCATAGATGTACTTCCCAGATCAGTAATCTGAATTGAAACAGGCCGTCCGACATTGACTGAACCAGAGAAAACCTTGTCGCCTTTAGATTTTGTGACAGGCATTGATTCTCCCGTAAGAGAACTTTCGTCAAATTTGTAAGAGTCAGTTCCAGTTATGATACCGTCGGCAGGAGGGGATCCTCCATGGGGAATCACAACAACATCGCCAAGTTCTAGCAAATCAACAACTATACGCTGAATAGTGCTATTATTTGGGTCAACCTGGTCAGAGGGAATGTGGTCAAGAACCAGAATAGCATCGGAGGGGCGAAGCTTGCCCAGCATAGCAACGGCATCTCCAGTTTTTGCCTTACTATATGCCTCAAGGGCACGACCAACCAATATGAAAAGCGTCAGGAAGACGACCGTATCGAAATAGGTAACTATATCTCCAGACCCGTGTTCATCAGCAGGGATGCGTGATTTCAAAATAAGAACAGCCAATGAAGCAAAATAGGCAACCATTGTTCCGGCGGAGATAAGCATGTTCATGCTACCGAAGCGGTAGAATCGCCTGAGGATAGGCACACGACTCCCTGGTCTCCATAGAGCGCGGATTTCTTTGAATGCACGAGCGTGAAACACATCTGTGCCAAAAAACATAACAGGGGTGGTAAGAATGAAAAGCGCCCACTCCGCACGAGAGACAGATCCTACCCACATCGGCTCCTCAAGATATTTCCGGATACTGTTTGACTTTGGGACTAAAGACATCCAGAGTATACCGATGAGGAATTCTGGGATAGCCACAATGAAAGTAAACAGGAGGCGGACGAGCAGCCGCCTTTGTTCATGCATCTGCATGGCCTTAGAGCGGTCCTCGATTGTAGGGGGGTGATAGACTGTTGTTTTGAAAACTTCATTTGCGGCATCGATGGTAGAAAGGATATTTCGTATAGTCATGGACGGAGAGTTTGGAGTATAGGAGAGGGTGAGGACCGGGTCTTGTAAGGTGAGTTCATTGTCAATGGTCACAGCTCCGTCTGAGATTCCTTTAAGAGCATCCACAACCTTTTGAGGGCAATGTGGACAGAACATCCCATCTATCTTGACCTGAATAGTTCTCCTTTTTGCTCCCTCTTCGGAAGCAGGGGAGTCATCAGCCAGTGAACCACAGTCAACGATTGTAGCTTCAAAACCCAAGTCTTCTATTCTGGTGACGATATCATTAAGATTTTCTTTGCCTTGGAACTCTACCCTCCCCGAGTTCCCCAGTAGATGTATCGTGGCATTGGTAATATATGGACAAGCATCAAGTGCTCTGGTAACAGACCCGACGCAAGAGCTACAGGTCATGCCCTTGATGCTCACATTTGCGACGTAAGCATCCTTGAGAGGGCCCTGTTGGAGCGAAACTTTTTCAACAGACGCCTCGAATCCAATATCCTTAACCTGGCGGATAACCTTGTCGATATTTTCCTTGGGGCCTTGAAACAACACTTCAGCACTGTTTGTGATAAGACTGACTGTAGCTGAAACAACATGGCTTGAGGATTGTATTTCAGCCGTGACAGCGTTGGCACAAGAAGCGCAGGTCATTCCACCAATGCTCAGCTGGGCCAGAAATATATCATCACATGTATCTACCGGGTCTTTTGCAAGCACCACTGGAGCCACGGCTGATCGAGACACTGGCCCGGGTAACTGCGGAGTTGGTGTTCGCTTTGGTGTCTCTATATGGCTCTCTTGACTTGGATGAGGAACTCCCAACCGGTCCCCTTTATGGCCCAAGTTAGACCCAGCTTCATATTCCTGTCTGCAGACCAGGCAGTTTGCGATATGGTGTGATTTCCGCGTATCTGGGGACGCAGAGCGCAACCTTCCCAAGATCTTTCGGGATCGAGGAGAGTTCAAGAGGCCAGACTCCGGCCACGGACTGCCCACTGACGAAGAGGTATCCAAATCACCGACTTTGACTCCGGATTGGTTGTAAGTGTCGGCATGGTATACTTCGAACGCGGCGTCGGAGAGCGCCTTTACAAGATCGGATGTGGTTGTCTCAGAGCCGTGGTGGACTGTCACTTCGTGTGCAAGGATGGAAATCTCGATGTCATTAATATGAGGGAGAACATGTAGGACTTCCTTAGCGTAGGCCACACAGGAGGAACAATGTATGTTATTGACAAGCAGGGTCGTCTTCAGGCCTTCTGTGGGTATATTTATCCGAGGGACCTGCATCTTAGGAGAGCCAGAGCGGCAGCACGAAGATGCAGTCTTGCTGGTGTCTGCCATGCTGTCAGAGAAGCCCTGAGAAACTTCAACGGTGATAAAGAGGCAGCTGCAACCAATTTGAGCAGAGGGATCAAGTAGTATCCTGTGTATCTACCACTCCTTGAGGGTGTATATCAGCCTATTCAAAGAAGCATCTGCCAGAGGAGAGGTATCTCTTCAGGATATATCTTGCCGGAAAAAAAAGTCCATGGAAGATGCCAGAAGAGAAAAATATCAGCTTGATAATCAGCAGCCATCGCAGTATTTAAGTCCATTTCGACGGTAGGCCAGAAATCTACTTTTTTCGGCCTCTTTAAACGAGGGCAGAGGGAAACGGAGCCTGCCATGGCGACTGGAGAACTGGATACGATGCAAAAATACGCCGGCTGCACAAATCGCGCGGCTTTGAATGGAGCGGTAGAAGAGGGCCCCAAGGGTCTAGCAACAGATGCCACCCATCGTGGATCCAATAGAGCCCTAGAGAAGCCGTTTAGAAGATGCGAAGAGAGCTGCAGGATCCAGGATGTCCCTCTTGACTCGCAGAGTCCAAACGTTGATGGTACCGAAATGAACCAACTTGCTGGACCAAAGAAGTCACTTTGAAGTCGCTTTTGGCGTGATGATGCGAGAAAAGATACCATAAAGATACTTTTGAGCCGCTAGTGGACGTTTCGACTTTGAAGATGGGATAATAATACGAGAATTTCCTACGCAGAACACATCACACAGTTTTATATATATCCTGCAAGTTGCAGTACCCAGTGCACCCTCCGAGATGCTGCCAGCCACGGCTTCTTCTCACCCGGGATTCGGAGTCTTTCTTCACGAGGATTTTGCCGTCTACTTGCTAGAGCACACCGATAAGTCTCGTCTCGTCCACACTGACATGGGTGTTTTGGCCCTATAAACTGGTCTGACTGACAGCGTTAAAGCGACCATATCTGGTCCATCAGCGGGACGAGAGGCCTGTCTTCACCTATTTTCCGTATACTATGTACTCGCTGCAGTCTGCCATGAGACTTCCGGGGAGATCGGGAAAAATATAACCAGCTGCATCGTCATCACCACGCATCCACGGCCCTCAGCGCTGGACAAATCATGCATTCTCACTATGCGATGACACCCCTCAATCCCGGTGCCTACTTCTCTCCTGCCGCTCGAGGCTGGTCCCAATATCCTCTTCGGTGTCTTCAACTCTCGGGATATGGAAGCTCCGAGTTATCAAGACGCCACCCGTGCTTAGTTATATCCATCCCGCGAGCCAAGATATACATTGCTTTCCTCAAAAAAAAAAAAACTTGCAGGAAACGAGTTACATCTGAGATCTCACTAGGGAATCCTTCAGGGAGTGTCCACTCAATTATATATCTTTGACGGACGAAATATATGGCTACTGCATGCTATCTACCGAGTCAGTATTCCAGGAATATAAAAGTACTTTTTTGCTCTTCTCACCAACCCGTATTATGGATGTCCTTGTCATCATCAACACCTTGCTCTGTGCGTCATATAACGTCAACGGGATCTCTGGAGAGTAGGCAGTGTGACATCAACGTTCCACGAGCTGTATAGGAATGCGTACTAGGAGCCTGTCTGCATTCTGTTATTGCGAGAAATGGGAACATGTCACAAAGCTTATCCCTTAATGAACTCATGCGTATGGCTGTGTAATTCCCTATGCAACATAGGATCGAGTATAGGCACTGCATAGAGGGATAGAGAGGACTCACTACAGCGTCTACTGTAAGTTTATATAGCCCAGGGCGTCCAGACCTCCTTGGTGTCTTATTCTACATGCTCAGCCCAACAACACTCTATCTGCAACGCCATCCTAGTATCCATTCCTCCATTCCTTATAGATGAAGCCGCTCCAAGATGGATACATACATATATATTATATATCTTGATAAAAAAAAAACTGTTGTCGGCGGATTCGAACCTGGGTGGCCATGACTTCCCGATCGGGCTTAGCACCGCCTGTCTTTCTCCGCCACAAAAAGGAAGAAAAAGAGACACCACGTGACCAGGTGAGTCAAGCCGCTGCACCACGAGAGGCGAGCCGGTCGAGGCGGCGAGGCGGAAGAAGCTCGCCGCCGACCTTGCGCATTCCTCTGGCTTGCATGTTAATATATAACTTACGGAGGAGCTGCTGATATTAGCGAAGAATCACGGCCTATTTCTCCCCTCTGCTGAGAGAGTGCCTGCTCCCCTATTAGCCGCTGGTGAGGGGTGTCCTGCAGGATTGTTCCGTCTTATAGTTAGGTGAGCTCAACACAAAAGATACCTCCGCTCCCTTCTACCTCTTCCAGACCTTTCTCATGCTTATTACGGTGAACGGAGTATGAACTGACATAGTCTCCAGGCAAACCTGAGCCTTCTCTATAAGTTCCCAGAGAGAGAGAGAGAGAGAGAGAGCTATATATAATATTCAAACATCTTTTGTCCTGATGGTCGGCGTTAAGCCAACTCCCCGTCTCCCTCCGCCAGGGAAGGCCGGGATTCGACGACCTCCAGTCGAGCGCCTGGCAAGCTTGAAAAGACCTAATCCTACTCCGATCCGTCGACCGCAGTCAATACATGTCCCCCAGAATCAGCAGCAGCAGCAGCAGCAAAAGTCGAACACTACAGTCCCCCCTAAAACGTCGAAGTGTCCAAACCCCAGCTGTCCAGATCCAAATATAGTAGAAGACGATGGGCAGAAGGTTTGTGCTGGGTGTGGTACCGTCATCAGCGAGTCCAATATCGTGTCTGAAGTCACATTCGGCGAAGCTTCATCCGGAGCTGCCATTGTTCAGGGTACCTTTGTCGGTGCGGACCAGAGTCACGGACGCAGCTTCGGGCCAGGATTCCAACGGGGCGGAAGAATAGAAAGCAGAGAGATTACAGAGCAGAATGGTAAGCCGTGTTTATTTTGTATTTTTTTCCCCTCCTAATATGGGCTTCTCTTACTGACATACTATATAGGAAATCGATACATTGCACAGCTCTCACGGGCCCTAAACATCCCGGAGAGTGCCTCCAAGGCCGGAGGACAGGTTTTTAAGCTTGCGGTCGGATTGAATTTCATCCAGGGGCGTCGGACGAAGACAGTGGCTGCAGTTGCTCTGTACATTGCCTGTCGACGTCAGGATGGAAACACAGTCATGTTGATCGATTTTGCCGATGTACTCATGGTAAGCACGAAATTCTCCATCTTCAAATGCCGTTTTCATAGCTAACAGTGAGGTAGATCAATGTCTTCAAACTTGGTAGGGCATATAAAGCGCTACTTGACGAGTTGAGGCTAGGAGGGAACCATTTCATCATGAATCCAATCGATCCAGAGAGCCTGATTTACCGTTTTTCGAAACAACTAGAATTCGGCCCTGCCATGATGCAGGTTGCCAGTGAGGCAGTCCGGATTGTCCAGAGAATGAACCGCGACTGGATGATCACTGGTAGACGGCCCGCTGGCATCTGTGGTGCCGCTCTCATCCTCGCTGCACGAATGAACAACTTCCGCCGTACCGTTCGTGAAGTAGTCTATGTCGTCAAGGTGACAGAGCTGACCATTCACCAACGACTAAACGAGTTCAAGGCGACAGAAAGCGGTGGTTTGACCGTTGATGAGTTTCGCTCAGTTCAATTGGAGACCTGCCATGACCCGCCGTCATTCTCTCACTCCAAGGACAAAAAGGCGGCGGTACAAGGTAAAAAACGAAAAGCGACCGAAATAGAAGGCGGAGCTGATGCAGGACATGATACACCGCCTGTCCAAGCGGAGGCTTCCACAGCCCATAAACAAGTTTCTACCCGGGTTGATGCAGACGGGTTTGCCATACCTGAAATCCCGATTGACCCAGCTTTGCTGGCATCCGGCAAGAACAATGAATCGTCTGGTAATTCAGGCATAGTTGAAGAGCCCGATCTGAACAGTAATGGGAAACGTATCCGGCCCAAGGGTAGTAAAAGCGCTCCTTACCCCGAACCGACAGAATCCGAGCTGGCCTCGGAATCTGCTTTAGAAGACGAAATGACAGCCCTTCTATCTTCAAATTCTGATCTGGTCGCCAGTACCACTAAGCCAGAGGCGACGGCAACTAATACCGAAACAACTAAATCGACCACTACTACCGATGGTAACAACGAAAGCGACCGGGTTGTCGAGCCTAGCGCAGATACGGATACTGCCTCTACAACACCGTCCAAACCTCAACAACCCGTATCCTCAGATGCTGAAATTAATCCTCTGGAATTTGACGATGACCCAGAAGTCCAATTCTGCCTGCTCTCTCCTGCTGAAGTAGAGATCAAGGAACGTATCTGGGTTCACGAAAATAAAGACTATTTACGTACCCAGCAAGCAAAAGCACTCCGAAAAGCCCTTGCCGAGGCTGGATCAGATGCCTCAAGACCGGGTGGCCATCGACCTCGAAAACGCCGCAAAGGCCGAATGGGAGACGTCACTTATCTATCAGGCGAAGGAAAGAATGCGGACGGCGAATCCGTGGCTGGATCCCGCGCCTCGACACCAGCAGAAGCAACAAGGCTCATGCTTGAGAGACGCGGGTTCAGCAAAAAAATCAACTACCAGCTCTTCGAGCAAATGTACGGCGATGATGACGAGGCCGCAAACGAAGAAGGCGGAAATATCATCACAGCCAAGAAGAAAGATAACAGCGAAAGCGAAAATGGTCGACGAAGTAGAAGCCGAAGTGTCAGCGTCAGCCGAAGCGTTCGCGGCTCAAGCACGGTCTCTGAACGAGGTATATTCGGTGGACGAGCGTCGGGGAACAGATCGAAATTACTGAAACCGATTCGAACCCCGGTTACATCTACAATGAAGAAATCTGCCGCTCCAGCCGCGATACCAGCCTCGACCGGTGCGGCTAACAAGACTAGTAGTGAGCCCACGGACGCTGCGGCAGATACGGAACCGACACCAAAGAAAACACAACCGCCGACATCTATAGCTCCAAGGGTGACTAAACCGGTAGAACAGGCCTCCGCGCCAGAGAAGGCTACGGACCCCAGTGAGGAGATTCTGGGTTACTTACCTGATGCCGAAGAGGATGAGTTACCGCCTGGAACAGCAGATGTCGATGAGGAGGATGACGAAGAGGAGGAGGAGGAAGAAGAGGAAGAGGATGATGGTGTTGAGGCTGCTTTCGCTGGGAACTATTATGACGAGGGCAGCGAGGGAGGGTATGATGACGATTATTTCTAATGGAACAAGCCATACATCCTCATATATGAAATATATATTGATGCATTTCCACTGTTTGTACGTTAACTTACTTAGCTGTTGATCAGCTTAATATGTTAAAAGAAACAAAACCATATCTAATCCTTCTAGTGAAGCCATCAAAATTAGATTAAACGATCAGAAAGAGAGAAAAGGCATTATTTTCAAACTTGGATAATTTTATTTTTTTATTTTATTTTTTCCCTTAAGAATATTTCATTTGTAACTGTGATGGCTCTTTGATGAGCTGGATAAAGAGCAGCAGGCAAAGCGTCGATAATTGAACTGGTCGATGATAGAGCAGAAGATAAGTCGGAAAATAGGAGAGAAAAAAATACAGCACTTAAAAGGTAAAAGAAAATAAATAGAATAGATAAAACACCGAGATGCACGTAAATGAATAAGAAATAAAAAAAAGTGACAAAAGAAACCAGCTTCATCACCTTACGTACGTTCCTCGCCGGTCCAGTTAGTCGGTTAGTCGGTCCGCATTATCGTCGATCGTGTCGTTCGAATGGCGTCCATCTCTGGGTAGTCTTCGAGTTGTTGTCGGTACTAGTCGATTTCCATCTGAATGTCCGTCCCGGTTGTGGTTCCTACCATTCCCATCGCACATCCGTTCATGCCTTCGGCACCAATCAGAACTCCCTTATCTTCCACTTGGCGCTCTGGCGTCTTTTCTGCTGCCTTTAGCACCTCTGAGCCAGCTTCAAAGATGATGGGTGAAGATTGTAGGTTTCGAATAGAAGATTGCCAGTCTCTGCCAATCAGCTGGCCTTCAGTGAGGTTGTCGTCAAAGAGGTAGAAATGTCGTTGTGTTGCCTTGTCATGTTGACCAGTGGGAAGGGCCGAAACAAGATAGACGTTTAGGCCACGGTGTTTGAGCATGATTTGGGCATCGCGTAGGTATGCAGCGAAGTGGTTGTTGATGTACTTCTCCCATCCACGAATGGCAGCAACCATGTCCTTATCATCATTGGCCATGCGTTGCCAGCTGATCCCTAATAGGCGAGTTGCGTCGTCAACATGTGGCATTTCGAGGCCCTTGGAGGATGAAGAGCCACAGACGTCGTTGGCACTTGATTGGAGTTTATGGGCGATTGACAAGGCGGTTATGTCGTCGTATCCGGAAGCGGTAGCGTCGAGTCGTTGGGTCTTTCTACTAGGTAGTGCTTTGGCGTGTTCTGAACTGATGTTCGAGGTGACAGGGGCAGAGATTCGGTTGCTTGTGGCTCTCTCCTCTGCCTTCTCTTCGTACCAGGTTCCTGTCTGGCTGGATGCTGAGACCGCAAGGCCTGTTTTGGGGTTGATTAGGACCATGCCTTCGCCGTAGATGGGTTCTTCTTCAGGCACAGCGGGTGGAGTTGGAGCCTTTTGGACGGCAGAAAAGCTACCGTAGCTGTCGTTACCTAGGTCAAATTCGTCCCGTGACCGTTTACGTGACGGTGCTGCAGCATTGGAACTTTGGTTGGAAGAGGAGGGCGTCAGCCAAGATGCCTGGCGGCCGGTGAAGGACTTGGTATGGTCTGATGGGATGCCGTCTGCACGAGCAGAAGCGTGATGGGAAAAGCGAGAACCGCCGGAATGGGCAAACGAATGGTTCATCGAGTCGGTAAGGGTAAGCTGGTTAGCCTGGTGAAGCTGAGATGGCGGAGGTAAGGCGACGGTTGGTCCGTTGAAGTAGTTGTTGTAGAGAGATGGACCCATGGTTGATCTAGATAGAGAAGAAGACGAGAGTGTTAAGTATAAAACGAATGCCGGAGAGACAACTGTTTGACAATGTTATATATATATGAATCTGTAAGAGTAAGAGATATGTTTGTCTTGATTCTTCTTTTTGATATCCAGCTGGATACCAGGCCAACAAAAAGAATCACTTGGAGAGTGAGGAAGAGGATGCGGGACGGCCGGGGAGGAGGGAGCAGAGTGATAATAGTAACAAGAGACAAGTATGTCTAAAGGTAAGCCGGTGGCAGAGGCAAGCCTGCACAGATCGAGTATCAAAAGGCTGTTGGGCTGTTGGGAGGTTTTGTTAAGGGTTGAAGCAAGAGAATGTTTTTTGGTGGTTTTGGAGAAGAAGAAGAAGAAGCTGAAAGTTGGGAAGGAAAAGAAAGAGAAAAAGAAGGGCAGGTTAAGCTTAGTCAGCAGTAGCCTTGCAAGGGCCACCCCAGATGTGGAAGGAGAGCTACCTCGGTGGTACCTTCCATGCGCGGCATCAGACCCGCAGAAGGCAGGTACCGCCCCGGTTGTCTTGGCCAGCCAATAATATAACGTCCTCGTGAGCTTATACAGTGCCAAGTCCGGAGCAGTGACCAATTATAGAACTGGATCTTGCGGGCCAAGATGTTGCACAAGACTGTTGCTAGCCTAAAAGGGGAAAGCCGATGGGCGATCTCTTATTCATCAAGCGGGATCTCGCGGAAAGTCTACGCGCTTAGTCAGAGAATTAGTCATCCAGAAATACTTGCCATGTTTAGCGACTTAAGGAAAGAACTTGTTTTGTTGTTCCGTACATGCGAAGGGGAAAAAGTACATACAGTAGAAAGAAAAGGCAGCAGGGAAGAGAGAATCTTCCAACATTTGAAAAAGGAAGAAAGAAAGGGCAATGAGGGGAAGGCAGATCGGCCTTCTTGTCTAAATGAAAAGGGACATGATTAAAGCGTTTGTTGTAGAAGAGTACAAACAAGGGGGAGAGAAAGAAGCAGAAGCAGAAAGTAGAGGAAAGTAGAGTCACAATGAATAAAAACGAGCTTTATATTCCCTCGCAGTGTCTAGAAGCCTTGGTGTTCCCTTTTGTGCATGTCATACCATAAATCAAACAGTGCAATAAAACAAGTTGTGATGGTTCATCCTGTCGGTTTTTGGTGATGAGAAATTAGTTCATAAATGCGAGCTTGAAAGGCCATGATTGGTTGTGCCTTTCAGTTTTCGGTTGTTTTTTTTTTCTTTTCTTTTATCCAGGGTGTCAAGGTCTTTCGCAGGCTTTTACTGGCCCTGTACCTTGCCCGGAAGCATGCCTTTGACCAGTTTCGGGTCAACGGTGCCTCCAAAATGGAACATGAGAATGACGATGACGACCACGCCCATTCCGATAAGGATGAGGCGGCTCCTGGCCGGGTGTGTGGCGGAGTACTCCGCCCATTGGCGTAAGCCTTGGTTGGTATACTCTTTCATCTTTTCGACACCAAGCTTGTAGTAGATCAGTCCACCTAGCGCGATGGTGTAGCCGAAGAGCTGGAGGGGAGTGACGGGAGTGTTCCACCAGAAAGCAGAGATAGTGACAAGGAGAATATCCTTGAGGACACCGCAGAGGGTCAAGACGAGAGAGGAGGTTTTGCCAATCTGGAGGACGTCACATTAGCGTTAAGCAGGCAAGGAGCAGGGTATACTGGGAGATAAGAATACGTACCAGGAAAACAACAGAGACGTTCAGGAGGAACGCAACCATGGCGTTGGCCAAGAGGGTGATCACACCAGCCTTGTAGATGTGGTCCATTGTCAAGTCGGGCACCTCCATGAACAGGGCCACAATGCCGTTCATGACAGCACAGACAGGGGCAAAGTAGTACAGCGAGACCAAGGGGTCCATCTTGTACTCGGCAGCACTGAGCAGCTGCTGCACCATGACGAGACGAGTAGCTTCGAACACGATACCGGCGATCTGGAAGATGAAGCCGACCATGACGAAGTGAATCTCACCGAACGAAGCAATCACAACACCGATAACTATGAAGGAGACGTTCATGAGTACTTTCATGTTAGGCGGGGAGATGCTGAGCGCCCAGGTGACGAGGAGAACTGCAACGGGGGTAGTGGCCTATGCAAGATTTTTAATACATCTCTTGTTGAGCCATTCTATACGCTGAGAAGAGTTATTCTACCTTGAGCATTTGGATGAAAGCAACGCTGAGGTAGAGGTATGTCTTGTTTCCACAGATCAAGCTCAGACTGAAGAAGAATCCGATTGGGACGATGGCGCGAAGGTAGACGCGGCCGGTCATCTTGACCTTCTTGCGTCCATCGAGGAGGTTGGTGGTGCGTGCTAGGACCTGGGTCATGAAGGCCGCAAACGCCAGATGCCATGTTGTCAGAATGACAGCTGTCAGAACGGTCAGGATATGTACTTTTAAAAAAATCAATTGGAGATCATTTGAGGGGAGACGTACGGAATGCTACAGTCGGAAGAAACCCACGGTTAGCTGAGGCCACCTAGACGAATGACAGTACGGAGAGCAACTCACGGAACTTGTTCTGCTTCTTATCAAGCAGGTCCTTGTTAAAGAGGATAACACTCGAACTAAGAGTGATCCAAGCACTGTATATATATAAATTCTTTGTATCAGCGGTCCGACGCCCCAGGAGAAGAAGGATGGTCTCCACGATGATGTCTCAACTCACATCACATAGAAAGCCGGATGGAGCGATGGCTTTGGCGGTTCACTCTTTGCCGCCGCTGGATTGACGGTAGGCAACGTCTGGCTGTCGTCCTTTCTATCCTCCATCTCCATGGCCATGGCCGGACCAGGCTGTATCTCGCCGGACGTCCTGGCCTTCTCTTGCTCGCCCATCTTCTGCACGGCACTCGACAGCGAATGGGCCTGTAATGCGACGAAGCGATGAAAGTCGAACGGCCGCGACCGCAACAAGTTGCTCTGACCAAACGCGTTGGACGCCAGGGCAGGTTCAGTGTTGGAAAGGCGTTTCGACGTGGTTCTTGATATTCAGGCAGATATTCGAAGATGAAACCAAACCGGAGAATAAAGCAAGCTTCCTGAGGTCAAGACCAGGGGGACAGACCTTCTCTTCCCCGACGCTGGACGACAGAAGATGTTTCTTGTAAAGGGGCTGAGATAGTAATAATTAAAAAGAAAGAAAAAAGAAAAAAAAAAAGAACTCAAGGGGTGTACGCAAGCCCGCTTATTAAGGGTGGAAGCTAAGTAAGCAGCCGCGTTTAGCTAACTTAGTTTATTCTTAACTACAACGCAGCAAGATGAGAGAAACAGACGGCGATGTGGCCTCAAAACACGACGCCCTACGGTCTTATTCACTGGCTGTATCGATATCAAGGAGCGATATAGGTCCAGCTTAGCTAGACGGCTGTCATCTGACAGCATCAGCATCTCGACGCGTCAGGACGGCCAGCCAGCAACACGACCGCTATGAATACGTGTATTAAGATGGAGGGCTGGTCGCAGACTCTGTGTACCTCGAAGGCATATCTTACTCGA